TTAATGCTTTGTTCATATTATTCATAATATGAATTTCTTATTAAATAATTCATGGAAATTGCAGTTTTAGCAAAATAATCAATTTTTATATTGATAATAAAAGCTTAAGTGTCTTTAATAAGATATTGCTTTAATATATATATATATATCTTACAAGATTTAATAATAACTTCTTTATTCAAATAGATTAAATTTCAATTATTAATCTCCAAATAGATAGTATTTTAACAATGAATGTTACTTCATGTTTCATAACATAGCAAAGGCAGTTATGTCAGTAATCTATCTCGGTTCGTTTAATAGCAGCATTATCCATTCTTCATTTTGAATTTATATACGGTCGCGAAATAACAGTATAGCATTGCAAAACAACAGGTTGGCGGTGCAATCCGGTCGAACGCTATCTCTTTCATTCGCGCTTTCGTATCTACGCGTACGCATCTATTTGTCCACACAATCGCACGAGTGCTTGCACGCTTTGATCATCGAATAAAGAGGGAACGAAAGGAACGAACGAGAGCGAAAGGAAGCGAACGTCCATTTTTCACGGGCATATAAATGCGAGTTATTAATACGCTGGTATTGTACGGCACAGAGAAGGTAATTAGTGGCCAGTTCATCAGTCACTCGGCCAGATTCCCCGACGGTCGAGGGAAAGAAGATCTTGTGCTCGGACCTAAGCGAGAGAGAAGCCTAAGTTCCCATCCTCCTCCCAAGGTTGCAAGAAAGATTAGACGACTAATGAAACCACGGTTGGCACGGGAAGAATGGAGCGAATCGAGTAAGAGATGAAAAGAGAGAAGACGATGCGAGAACGAAGCAAAGCAAAAGAGAGAAGTAAGGAGAGAAAGATCGCTCTCTTGGTCCCGATTAACGTGAGTTGTATTTTGTGCCTTGATCACCTGATGCTCCAAATTTTTAATTAGGCATATCAGTAATCGATCTCTCGGAGAGATGGTAAGATGAAGTATGAACAAACAAAAGGAATATGATATACCTAATGAGATTTGGAAAGCGTATTTATTCAAATTAAGCTGAAGAAAATAAATGGAAACAATATTGCTTTCAGAAAACTTAATCAAAAATTCTATAAGAGATGCAATAAGCCTTACCCTATATATATACTTATTCATTCCTTAATTCCCAATTATCATATTAAAACTTAATCTCCAAACTTATATTCGAGAGTAAAAAAATTACAAAAAATAATCTAACAAATTTTCAAAAAAAAAATTGTCTCCGGGTTTATTAGAAACTCTTAAGTTTGATAAACATCGCGATAGATCTAGATAAACAACGCGTCATGATAAGCCACATCTCATCTTGATAAGCAATACGTATCTATATGCGGGAGGGAGATATTAATGGCAGCCGCGTTGGGAGTAGCGCTCGTCAGTAACTACCCACGGGAAGTCCAGGTCCAGGTCGACGTATTAGCTAATGTGTCGTCGCGATTACCGCACCTGGAGTTAGTTGGCCGGTCGCGCAATTGGCGGTGTGTCGCATCTATATACACGCGTGTGTCCGGACGCACGGCCGCGCGCACGCGTTGATACCCACATGCACGTATCGCCCCGAAGACAGGAAACGTAGAGCGTTGATTGGCTGTCCGGGGGCGGTTGGAGCCGACTGCGTGACCTCTGACCCCACCCCCGTGGGGCGCGCGCACGTCTCCAACCCCAAGGAAGTAATTACCTTGCCACCCGCGCTCGATAACCGACGCTATCGGATGCTCCGTTCTGACGGCCGGATGACGCGGCCGGGTCGCCCGGGTGTTCACGAGCACGCGCCCTCGGCGATACATATATGTCGAAATCGAAGATGTCTCGGAGAACGCGATTAGATATACAGCGAACTGTATACCTGATACAGCGTATCGTTTAAAACCGTAAGATCATCGGAGGACAGATTGATAAAATAATTAAAAAGCAATCTGCAAGAGGAAAATCAGGATTTATTGCCGTAAGTTTAGAACGCACTAAAGTAACTGATTGAAAAGTTCTGAAACTACGCTGCATATAGAAAAATTTAATCAGCTTGATAGAAATTATTATCTTGAATATTAAATTAAGCCACAACCTTTCATTCGGTATGACGCAAAGTTACTTCTGCTGGTACAATCTAACTTTCTTACGGTCTTTAACAGACGAAATTAACGATGCTTCTACCTTGACGGAGAGATGAGATAATGGGATGGTGGCGCGAATACGTACATCCTTTAGTGTGTATAAATAAACACGCGCTCGTTAATACGTAAATAATCGTAAGTCTCGTATAATCAATCCTTTCATCTCCGCGTTAACATTATTGCAGCCTGCCAACGTTCATTTAAACTAAGTTCTTCGTTAGTCAACATTAATTAAACATAGCTTTACTTTGAAAGAAATTCCAGAAATATAAATCTCGGAATAAAGACATATATATTAAGAAACTAATTACTATTCTCATATGCACATTATTATTTTTTTAATCGACATTAATTAATTCGATACTAATATATCTGTTTTTAATATTTTGCTAAAAACTTTAATATTTTGCTGTAAAAATTCAAAAATTGCGATTACTAATTATTTTTAGTACAATTAACTGCGTACAACATATTACCGTAAATAATATTATTAATTAAAATACGATTAGTCCTTAATAAGCTTCAATTAAACATACGATACTGTAGATATAAATAATATTCTATTGATTTACTCAGCCACTCTGTATGTATTTCTGATTATTTGACTAAAACGAGCAATGAGCAGTGAATCAATATACGAGTGATGGGGGTGGCCTCGGCTGACGCAAGTGATTTCGCCGACGAGAGTAACGGGGGTAGTTTTCGCGGCGCAAAGTGCAAGAAGAGAATCGCGCATAAGGTCACGCCGCGGGGTTACGCCAAGCAGACTCCTATTGGCAGGCCAATGCCAAGCAAGATTCGCGATTGGTCGAAGGTCGTGGGTCGCCTCACCTACCCCCAACCCAACGTGACCTCCCACGCGAACTCGCGAGGTAGTAACTGCCACCCTTCTCCAGATTTGGCGTTGGGGGTTGCGCTGACTCGCGTATCGAGCCAACTGAGCAAAAATCCAGTCGAACACGGAATGCAGTTACTCTCTGCTCGATGCATCTGATAGCAAAGAGATTAACTACGGCGTGTTAAAAAAAAAAATAAGCATACATGTGCTTCCCCTTCGCGGAACAGTACAATTTTCTACGCAAAAATGATTATTTAGCGATAATTTTAAAAATATATAATTTCGAATGTAAGCTTATATTGTATATAAACTATGCACAAACTCGATAGACAAACTCGAAATTTCCAATTGCCACTTCCCAATTCCCAAACTACTACATCTTAACTTTCAATTAAAATTTGCACTACTTGGAGAATCAGTAAAATTAAAAGATAACGAGACTAACTGTGTCTGCTGTATATTCTCTTGTTTCTAACTAATCCCTTTAACAATCTACTCGAGGATCGAATGATATATCTTCGTCTCACGATACAGTTGCGTGCATCCGAGACGGGAAAGGTAGGAAAGAAAGATGGGACTAAAACGAGCGTAAAGTCATAATGCCATTCATCAGACGGAGGACAACCGGCAAACCGCGGCAATTAACTTCCACCGAGGGCTTTTTTATCATGTCGCAGTATTATTAGACAAGCGGTCAACCCTCGGCGAACACGAGGGTGAAAATGTCGTGTCGCGCAGATGCGGTAATCCAAATTTAGTGCGATATAAATACGGCAGATTAGAGGCGATTGCTCTATTTTTTTTTTTATTGTCTCCGTGATCCATGACAGGATGTTACGAGAGGCGAAAAAAGTTACGACCGAAACGAGGCGTTGGATGGGCGTGGAGGTAATCGCATCACATTCATATCGCCATAAACGATCATAATCAAAAGATGCGGATTTTATTGAGTCAAGTTTTAACTCGAAAATTGCTATTTGCATATCGAAAGATTAATTTGATTGCAAAAGAGTCTAAGCTAGTCAAAGTAGTTCTTATCGAGATGTGAAACATATTTTATGTATCATAAAAATTGGCGTGATAACAAAATTAAGAAAAAATGAACAGAAACATTAAGATATAAAATATATAATGTATCTGGTATGTTGGTGTGAAACCTGAAAAATTCTTAATAAATATAGCTTTCATCGTGTATTGTGTATTAAATTAATTAATATAGTATAATAATCATAATAGATCACGCAATGTCAAATTTTTCATTAGCATATATAACAATTGGCATTCTCCGCGGCTGAACGATATTCGAACCGTGTAATTAAATCTGAAGCGTGGAGGCTAATTACAATGGCCCTTCGCAAATACGTCGCTCATTACGATTTAGTAATTGTTCCGGCGCGTATAATAACGCCGGTATCTGTACAGTATTATTGTTCGGTAGGGTGTTATTGCCTGAAACGCGTATAACGTAATTACTCTAACGCAATTAGGAGTGCCGCACATTGGTCTGCTTCTTGTCTCTGAAAACGGGTCGCTCTCTCGCCACAGAGATTGGATTAACGAATATTATGGGTTAGGCGTCAAACCGAAAATCGATGGCATTATCAACCGCGATTATTAAATTCTGTGTACAATCATTTATTATGGATTAAAAAAGCAGATTGAAATACAGACGATTGTATTGTATTAATAAAACAATTTTGCTGCTTACATATGTTATGAAAATATTACGTGGAAATAAATTGTCTTAAAATTACATAAATTATATATCAAAATGCAGACAATATTTTAAACATATCTGAATTATTCTTCATGAATAAACTTATTTCTTCATAAAATCATTTAATTCTTTCATTGCAATTTAAATCATGGCAGAACATTATTTCTACGTATTACAAAATAACATATGTAATGATATATACTAAATAAAAAGAAAAATATATTAGTAAAATATATATTTATTCTCCTGAGGAACCTTTGTCGTTTATTTGCATAAATATTACAAATGTATATCATTTTATATATATCTCTCTCTTTGCCTCTCTGTAAAAATAAAATAAATTAAACATAATTATATTAATTAATATGTTTATTGTCAAAAGAGAGAAAAGACAGAATAAAGATTGATCCCAACGGGCCCAGTTTCTGGAAATCTGCAAATGAAAATTACAAAAATCCTTGATATAAATAACTTTTCCTGTTTAACACACTTAAATACATGTTCACACAGCATTACATTGCAGAGAAAGAGTAAGATCAAAACAAATTCCGTAAATTTTCAATGATTATCAGAATAAAAAAAAAAGAGAATTTAAACATTCCCATTTAAATTCCGAGATCAACACATCATTCAAAAATGCCATTCCGTAATGTTTTGTCACGAAGGCAAAAAACTATAGTGCTTTAAAATATATATTTTTTCTATACTATATAATATGATACAATAAGTTCTACATAATAAAGAATATGTAAAAAAAAAACTGATTTGATCTAATTCTCTAAGGCCCTAACCAATATTGATTGCATCAACATTATTTTGACTAAGTGAGGCTTAAAACTCTGTCTGTTTCTCTTTAAAATCTTGAAAGAGAGAGAGAGAGATTTAAATCTTGCTTAAAATCAAAATAATATTGATGCAATCGGGCCTAATATTCTCTTCCTTCTTACTTGAAATCAATTCTCTTTACATAATATTTTATTTTTAAAGATTTTAGTTAAAATGTTTGACCTCGCAATTTGAAATTTACAAATTATACATTATGAACAGCCACAATAAAAAAGCGTAAAATAAAATAACTTGTCATTGCAGCAAATATATTTCACAGGATACTGCATGCATTCTACCGAAGTCTAGAGCGTGCGTTCTTAAGGATACATTTACGGGTAAAGTATTAGGTGACGATTATCCGAGTATTCCTTCAGTTTTAAGGTTTCTGGGTAGGATCTCTTCATACTCGGGCGACTTACAACTACCAGACCGCAAGATTGATATGAAAACACCGCCGTTTCCGCTATTGCCAAAATGCAGCCCTAAAATGTCGTAAGGCGCACGTGCAAGAAAACCGCAAAGTAAAAATAAACTGCATACAGTACTTCTCTGTAGAGAAAACATCGATCGGCTTTACATAACATACTCTGAAAGGCGAGTCTATTCAAACAAGAGAGATTAAAATAAAAGTAAATGACAATCCTTGGAATATCAAAACTAATTATTTTGATAAACAATTATAATTTATAAGATTCTAAAAATATTTCATCTAGAAAGTTAAAAAATGGTACAAAAAAGGATATATAATTAATATATAATTTATATAATTAGTCCCAAACGTCAAAAAACATCTTCTGAGACATAATTCTGAAAAGGTTATCAAGATTATATAACAATAAATGAGTTTAAACACACAAATTGGCATAAATTCAAGCAGAATCAAATTGATTGGACAGAAAATCATATAACGTAAAACTAACATTATTTTTGTATTGCTACTAAATCATTAACCAAACAAAAAAAGTACACGACAGTTGGATAAAGCGTGAGTATACATCGCGCGGAGTATTAGTGACTGGTTCAGAAGCTCCTTACTAACGGATAACGAACGGAACCATTCGCAAGTCAATCCAATTGGACAGACTCAAAAGCGAACAGCGACAGGCAAACACGGGCGATCGGTTATCGAAGCGATTAAATGTATATACCCGCCGTGTCTGTCTCTCTATCCCGGCCATGCAAATATGCGCGGGCAAACTCGGAAGCCACACGCTTCCAACAAGGAAACACCAACCAACGTCAACGTGGCCCGGCCGCGTGGTGAGCGTTCGTATGCACAACCGGCACCACCGTCGTGCTCTCGTGGGAAATGCTGTCGATTATATTTGCGTCATAGCAAACGCCACGGACGCGCAAGGTACGCCGAAGTTGCTGGACGAACGGGGGAGGATGGTAGGTCCGTCGTCCTCCTGCCGAACCTGCTGTTTGCGCCGGCACTCTAATTAATTATCCGCCGTCTCCGATAATGTAACGCGAAGCGCGAGGTGCGCTCCCGCACTACGAATATCCGAGATTACGTCCGTTCCAACGAGAGCGGAAAATTTTACGCGCGTAACGAGTAACCTCTGTAACGTGGTTTTCCGCGAAATTTTCCGCGATCCTGTATTTGCAAATGACGAATACTTTCATTAAAAGAAAAAAAAACGATATCGCGGGAGCTAAATACATTAGTAATTCGTAATTACAGCGTTAAAGTATAAGAAATTTGTCAGAGAGAGGCCACTGATTACTGATTAATAAGCGATATTAATAGATAATTGTTCATCACCAGATAAAATTGTAATGTTCAGATTTTTTTATCAAATATACATAGATTCAATGTTTCAAGTAAAAAATTTAAGGTCTGCTCATAAAGATATAGATTATATAATGTTAAAAAATAAGATTATATAAATTAGATAAAAAATCAATTAAGTTATAAGAACATAGATGCATGATAAAAACTTGTTATCCGGTTATCAGTAAACTTAGTTTTAATTTCATTTTAGATTCGCTAATATATATTTCATAGAAATCAAAAATTTACGAGACACGTAATAATTTCTACTTCGAAAAAGTAATCTTTCTATAATTTTATTGATCAAGAATTTATTGGATAACTTACTATTAAAGCCATTCGGATTCACTTATCTGTCTAATAACAAAGTGGATAGTATGTATTTTAATTTGAACAAAGCAAGGATTCGCTTTTTTAAAAGCAAGATTTATTATTGTCAATATCAAAAGAGAAATCTTCTTGTCGTTCTCACCTAACGTCTTTCCTAACGACAAACGGAACGTACAAATGGAATATATAAAAGTTATATGTTTGCGCTCACCCACCGGATGGACAAATATTCGTCGAGCATCACTCGGTAACGAGCGGAGAGCTAATAAAAGAAGTCGCGCTGTTCCATTATCAAAGCTAAGAGCTCGCAGCTAACCGCTTGTGTGTAAATGGAGGCTTCGCGAGGCCCTTCTTACATCGACAGAGATAAATTAAAGCAGTTATTTACTAAAGTTAATAATTATTTAATAAGAATTTTGTTATTTCGCCGACTGTTCCTAATTTTAAATAATATATTTTTCATGTAAAATCAATAATATTAAAAATTTTGGTTTATTTTTATTTTACAAAAAGATTTTCAAGAATAGCTAATGATATCCTTTAATCAATCATTTACTGTTGTCTATTATATGTGATTATTCTTTAAATTAATTTATTATTAACTAAAATGAATTTAAGCAAAACTGTACAGTACAGTACATACTTGGCAGTTTACTCGGGTATAACTAAAGAACTTCGGAATGAATGGGGTGGAATAAATGTAGGCCTGAAGTACGCACTTGGTAATGTAGAAGGCTAATAGAAGAAGTCACGCAGTGCTATTGTTAATGGACAATACTGCAGATGGTTAAAACGATTTTCATCGCCCTGTGCTCGCTATTCAATGCCAGTGCGCCAAAGCCACTTAACGCTCTTTTGTACGTCGACTGATATCAGTGTGAATTACAAGGTGATAGTGTTTTATCACAAAAAAACATCAACTAGGTAATTTAATTATATAGTGTAAAAAATAAATTCAACAGATAAAAAATACATTTATGAATTCTTTACTTTAGGCGATAAAATATTCCACGTTTATCCATTGTCGAACAAAATATAGAATTCAAATACTGTATAAAACTTTCAAGTATTCCATAAAATGTACAATTTTTTTGTAAAAGCAAAAAATTTTATTGTAAAATACCAGAAACATTTTTTTTAATTATAGGATAAACGTAAAACTTTTGATAGCAATACTTTCTAAATATGTAAGTTGTCTTAATTCGACGTAGATTAAATATTATAGCTCTTTCATATTATAGCGTAGCAGAACATTTTGAGGAAATTGTGATATCAGCCAACATGCATAAAAATATACATCATGCAAAAAATATTTATGTGACCTTAACAATACCAAGATTCTGATTATATATATTTCTAATTCGATATATTTCATAAGAATTGAAATATCAACGAAATAAGTGAATGCTTCTAATACAATATACATAAAATCATTTTATTTAAAATTAAATTTATTTATTTTTATGTTTCTTTCATTTATTTTTCAATAAGATAACATTTTTAATTTTTCAATAATAATGGATGCATATAAAATGTATTTACTCTTGGTAATGATAAGGTTTAATCTTGATTTTTAACCTACTTACTTTTATTACAAGGCCTTTCCAAGACGATGTAGAGAATTTACAATGAAGATTCTCTTCTTGAGTTTCTCCATGTATTTTATTACCTATAACACAAATCGCAATCAATTATATGAATATTAATACAAGGAAAGACACATCTAAAAATAAATGCACAAATAACTTACGGATTGTATATCTCCTTGCAACTGTGCCCGATTATAATGATGACTTTGTTGTATAACTTCAAACATCATTATTCCAAGATATTTTTAAATATTGATGTCAGGCTCTATTCATTATCCTGCAACAGAAATAGGTCGAAACAGATTGGGTTAATATATGTATAATGGAAAATATAAATCTTTTGTATAGCCAAGTGTAAAAAAAACATTAATTTACCTGGATTATATATATGGTTTTCCTGTCGTCTCTTCCCTTTGGTTGTCATTAGTATTAAGCACTGAAGTGCTGTAATCAAGCTTTTTTTAAGAAGCTTTTACAATTTTCAATATCCAGAACTTATATGTCAAAAGACCTTTATATGTCGAACATCAAGCTTTCATCCAATCTTTTTGAATTCCTTGAATTCATAATTTTCGTAACAAAACCAGAGACATCAGGTTTCCAAAGATTACAATCTGTAACAATTTTCAAAATCCACATTTATTAGACACGAGAACTTCAATTATAAGAATCGAAGGCTTCTAATATAATTGAAGAATCAATTATGAGAATCGAAGGATTCTAATATAATTGAAGAAGGCATAATTTTGATAAAATTAATTACACATTTCACATGTATACCTGCACATGCAAAGTACTGTGCAGATAAATGTGGAATGTATAATTATTACATAAAGTTCTTTTACCATTCAACAATATTCCTTAATGGAAAAATGCATAATATTGTAGTACTACCTTAGCCTGCAAATCATTGTTTTCAATATGAATTTCCTATGAAATATGTTATTGAACAAATCTTCGTCAAGAATCGAAGGGTCTTTCAATGCAAATTTCGCGAACCGCATGTAATAGCGTTTTCGGACGGAACGACTTTTGATCGCTCCGTTTATATATCTGATTAGACGTGGCGAGCATGTGATGTCACTAATCGCTCTCGGAGCGATCAAACCCGCTCGGCCCGAAAACGCTGCGAGCAAAGCCGCATACGCGTCGTCCCATAGTCTCACGATTCGACAACTAACCTCTGAAGCGTAATCGACGCCGTACTAATCGAGACGCATATTACTCGCAACCTCGGCAGTCGGAGCACGCCCAATACAACAATTACGCGAAAAACGATTTGTTGTGCCAACAATCACATGCCGAGTGTGTGTACGTTCCGGGCGAACCGCGGATCGCGTCGAAACAAACGATGTTAAAAACGCCGCGACGCTATTGCGACGTCACTGCAAATGGCAGCCATTTACAAATGGCAGCGCGTCGCGCGCGGTCACGTGATCGTGGCTATCGACAGTACCGACGCGAAAGCACCAATGAAACGCTGCCGTAGATTTTGAATGTAACGCTCGATAAGCTTCGACGAGCGATGCTGTTGAAGTCCCGAATATGATAAACCCGAATATGACGAAGTGACTAATTATGGCAATATGTAACCGTGACGCGCGTGCACTTACCCGGCGCCGATCGCGCGTCAGCTGCACTTCGCGTTCATCTCGACGGTAAAATGGCAGGACGAACGGGCTTCCGAGTGGATTTGGAATTTTCGCATTATTGACGTCCGCCTGCCAGCCGGAGGGTGACGCTTGCATCACGACGAATGCTCGACGCGGCGCGGGAGACGCTCGCGATCGTTTTGAGCGTCCGCGACTCGCTCTTAAACGATAACGAACGCGGAAACTAAAGCGGAGTGACGCGGAAACGATACCTCGAAACGTCGCGACGCGGCCATGACTGACCGCGTCGACCGCCAGGGGCGCGAGGTTCGCGAGCGGCGAGTCCAATCGACGGACCAATCACGTCGCCTCGTCACTTTCTCCCCGCGCCATTCGCATTTCGCGTAATGTGAAGATCTCGTTCGATTTTCGGCAAGGCAAAGAGAATAAACGTAGATAATGCAATAGATTATGCAAAGAAATCTGTTATTTAATGCAGAAATTAAATTCGAAATGTTTCTTAATAATTGAAATACCGCAGGTTACCGAAATGTTAATTTAAATGACAATGCAATACCAAATATCAGATCTTTGGAATTCATAAATATAAAATATGGGATATTAGAATATATAATTTGTTTTAATGGAATTATTGTAATAATGGGATATTATTAACATAATTTTTGTGGAAAATAAATCTCGGGGATATGAAGGAATTGAAAATTATGTCGGTAGATTTTCGTTTTTCGTGCAAAAGATTCAGGAATAAAACTTTATTACTCGTACCAAAATATATCATTATTTTCCTTATGTTTGTTGAAAATATCAACATTATTAATCAAAAATTCATTCATTAATCATGTCATTAATCTTCGGACATCGCCATTCCTTTGAGCCATTATATTTATCCACAATAGCATATTATACATATTTATGCGATCTCTGTACAACGTTTAGGAATGTTTCTCGCTAGTAAATTGATTGTCAAGTGAAAGCTGCATCGCATATAAATTATACCATGGTGCAATTTACACGAGATGACAAACACATACAGAATGGAAAATTTGGCAAATTTAAAACATTCTGTGATACATCAGTAAATAGCCAGACACATTTTTCATCTCGATCAAGTCAAATTCTAAATTAAGACGATTATTTACGAAGTTAAATGGTACAATATTTAGGAATGTTTCTTGCCAAGTGAAAGATGCATCGCATATCAATTGGCAATTTACACGAGATGACAAACACTTACAGGATGAAAGATTTGGCGATAAAACATTTTGCCAATTCTGTGATACATCAATGCCCAAGACACTGACAAATATCCAGATACGGTTTTCCATTTTCAAATCTGATCAACTCAAATTAAGGCGATTATTTACTAGTAGCTTAAATGATAAAGGTCAGCTTAGCATGCCACAATATAAAAGCTCTTCGCGTAACGTTTTTCGCAGAGAATCACGATTGCATTTCGTTTGCTATTTACAGTGGATCATAACTTTAATAGCCCCGCCTGCACCAGTTTTGCTGGTCTCAAACGCTTGCTTAGTTTCCTCCAGCTTGTAATTATGAGTGATCAATGGCTTCACGTTTACCTTGCCAGTCGCGACGAGGTCCAATGCGTCGCTATAGCTATAAATTGGGAAAAAAACCATATATGTAGAATAATTTTCTATCAAGTGTACAACATTAAGATATAATTCATCTCTCTCTGTAAAGATTATATATAAATTAAAAACTACAAAATTCTTGATTTTTTCTTAGAAACACATCTACTTCTCGCAATAATTAATTTGGCATAAAGTATCGGTTAAAAATATAACACAAAGTTATAAAAATAAGATATAAAAATATAATAACTTTATATTATTATATTTTTATATTTTTATATATAGTTATCATATTTTTTTCTATTTAACGTACAATCTTAGAACTAATTGAAACTTACTCATTTACATATCGGAAGACTCCCCTGATGTCGACTTCTCTTATCAAGGCATCTATTAGTGGAATTTGCACTTCTGGAGCACCCAGTCCCACTAATACCACAACTCCACCGGATTTGGTCGCCTGATAAGTAACACAAATATGATTCATAATCTAATTTCTCTAGGGTGCTGACTAATTTTAAATAATCTAAAAAACAAGAATATATTTCGTAGACTTACGAGAATCGCTAAACGAATCGAGGCTTGTGCGCCGGAAGCATCAATCGTTCTATTGGGTGCGCCATCGAAAATTGCGTGAATATCAGCCACCATATCCTTTTCCGATTTATCCTTCTGCACCAGATAAGTTTCGTCGGCGCCGAGTTTCTTCGCTACATTCAGTCTACTTTGCACGATATCTGTAAACATAAATTTTGCCTACTTACATCTCATTTACTAGTTGTATAGGCATGCATTTAGAATTCCTCTTAGTAGAGAACTTGTGCTACTTGTAAAACGCATTGTGCTATCTACAAAAGAGACAGTAACGTGTTTTAGAAAAATGGCCTTCTTGAAAAGGCAGCGCTCTACGCCTTCGAATTTGCAATAGAAAAATGATTATACTATACGATATGCGACACTTTGTGACTGCGTGACCTCGACATTCTTGTCCCACAGGCAGTATCTCTCATGGCATAATAAGTGCAGCCTCAGCGAGACTTATCTCGCGATCGAACATTGCAACATCGTTATGCTACTCCATATCTGGAGAACGCGTTGATGTTGATGTTTTTCTCTCATTCGCCATTACGTAAATAGATAATTAAGTAACTTGATAGCTACTTATCGCTTTGCAAACGGATTTAAAAAATACATCTCCCGTCAAAAATTTCGTTATCGCGGCGCTACGAACGCAATCGCTGCAGAAGTTTCCGTTAAGTTACAGATAACAAGTGCCTGTCTGTATCACAAGTTTTTCTTATTTCAGTAAAGAAATACTAAACTCTTATTTTAACACATAATAAAAACCAGTAGAGAAATTAAAAATTTGATTGAATTTTGATACTGCGATTAGTTTCGTAAGAATATATAAGAATGTAACGAGTAATTTTTCTTTTACTTTTTATTGCATGAATTGTTATCAATGCATTATCTCACATTTTTCAGTTGTTAATTGAAATATTAAATTAAAGATAAAAAATCGTTGAAACATAGATTAAAATACTTTTTTTGCATCAAGTTTTATTTTTTTTTAAATACGTACCCGTGATAACTATTTTTTTTGCACCCATGGCTTTGGCTACCAGCAACGTTACCAAACCGATCGGGCCGGCTCCCAGAATTAATACAGTAGACTCGATTCCAATCCCGCCCCGTTTGCAAGCATGTACTGCCACTGACAATGGCTCTAAAAGCGCTCCTTCCTCTAAGCTCATATGATTGGACAATCTGTTATAAAAAAATCACACATGCAAAAATTAATTCTCTTTCCATCTGCGATGACATTTTATTAAATCATTTTATAAAGAGCTACCCTGCGTCTATATTATCGTTTATGTATAACTAATCAGTTTTATCATAATTATGTATAAACGAAATATTTATTAACTACTATTAAATATTAAATATTTATTAACTATGCTTACTTAAAGCAGAAATCAGCTGCATGTTTGTAGAAACGTCTTAAACTGCCGTGCACGGGCGGAGTTGCGCAAAACACAATATCTTTACAAAGATTGTAACGTCCCTCCTTGCAGTCCGTGCACATCCTGCAAGGCACACCAGGTTCAATGGCAACACGATCGCCGACCTATAAAAAAAAATTAAAAAAAACATAAAAATATCAAGAATAATATGTATTTATTAATATATATATAAATATTATATATTTTATATGAAAATAACGCGAATAAATTTTTCAATATTAGTTCATGAGAAAAAGTAAATAGATATGTTATGACGTATATACCTTTAAATTCTTGACATTTTTTCCAAGTTTGGCGACAGTTCCTGAAGACTCATGACCGACGATCATGGGTTTCTTCACTATAAAATCGCCGATTCTGCCATTGACAAGATAATGAACGTCCGACCCACAGATTCCTACGCATCCCATTTCGAGGAGCACCTCTATAAAAGAATTACAATATCTCTATTATGATACTTCCAACTTATTAAAATATAAAATCTAAATTCTTTCTCAAATTCTTAATGTTATGATAAATTTAATTGATTCCAAAACAGTCATTTAATGCTTTTTTCCCCCACTTCGCAGTCTCAGTGCGCGGCTGCTTTTACTAATCAAAAAATCGATACTCAAACTTAAGATAAAGTGTCTTCTCAATTAATTAAGATCTAAATATATACGCGAGAAGATTCAACAGCTTTAAATTGAAATTAATCTTTATAAGTACGTATCTGGAACAGCATTGCATATTACTTCGACGAGCGTCATCGCATATATTAATAGCACTCAATGTAAATTGATGCATATCAAAGTGTTATGCAATCAAACAAAGTATCCTTCTTTTTTTCAAATAAAAACTATGCAATTTTTCTCTTTACTAAAATAATGTTATTAACAAACGCTGGATAATTTACTAATAAGTTGCTTCTTAAAGATAATATTATATTATTAACGTATCAATGTTATTATATGTTGCTTAGTAATTATACGTTTCTTATCGTCAATACTACATATTATTGAAATCTTCCGATATATTTTTATCAAAACCAATAGAAATTGAAAAATAGCTATCAAATAAAAAACATTAATAAATATTGATAAAAGGTATCTCTTACCACCATCTCCTGGTTCCTCGATACTCGTGTTTTCCTGAAACAGAAAAAATTACCCGTATCTAAGGCTACGTTCGAGGAGCGTGCTATTAGTTTTATTGCGTCATTTTGTCCTTATTTGTTTATTGAATTCATTAGATAAAGATAAATGACACAATATTGCTAGTAGCAAGTCGCTCAAATTCTAATACTACAAAAAACATATTTGTGTGACATTGCAAAAAGCACACAATGCTAAATCACAAAGCTTGACATATTAAAAATTGGATATTATAAAATAATTTGCTGTTTCAATTTAAAGTTCTTCACTTATTTTTCATGGTCTAAAAATACCAAATGGCAAGAAAGTTAAAAAAAATTACTTACAATTAGTGCGGATACTACAATAATATAAAGGTCAATCTGTTAATAAGGAGGCGCACGTGCAATCAATTTGCAAGGCGACTGCAGTTTCGCGTGCAGTAGTTAAATTCAAGAATCACCACAACACATTGTAATTGTAAAAATAATAATCTGAATATTAAGAAATCCGAATCTTAATGACATCTAATAAAAAGTTATCCATAATTTTGTATCCATATTCTATTAAATAAAATGAAGAAAATGAATTTGTAGCTTCAGTTTTCTCAAGAAAAAAATATGAATTTTTTTACTCTGCTATATTATTTTTATAAAAAATTAGTAAATTAAAAAGAATTGATAAAATATAAGAATTTATATTTATAAAATTATAAATTCTTTATTTCTAAAATATGAAATTTTCTTAGAAAAATGTTACTTTTTACATTATCTTTTGCTTACATAAAACAAAATTGGAGAGAAATGACAAAAAAGCGCATTAATTAGTTATTAATTAAATAGTTTCTATTTTTTGAAATTCGGTGTTTTGCATAAAAATCGATGTGATTCTTTTATCTGCTTTAAAAAAAACATAACTTAAAAATTGATTTATATCTAGTATATCTAATATTTAGCGCAAATATATAAATCAAAAATATCTACGAATTTATCGTTAGCTTAAAATAACAGTTCGGCAGTTATTATTATGATAGCTAGTACTGTAGTAAACAAAAAGATCACTTTCACTTTCTATAAGAAAAACGACAAAAAATTTATTCTCTTCTTGATTTCACGATTTATTTAGAGATGCATTATTTTGCGTTTACTATATTTAAAATAAAATAATAATCGTATACTCAAATGTGATAAAAAAAAGAAAATAAAATTGTAAGGAAAGTATATAACATATTTATATGTAGAATGTGTAATTAAAAGAAAGAATACCATACATATAAATTTCTTTAAATTACACAGCTGCAAATATAAAAATAAATCGTACATTTAATTTAATAAATAAATAAAAATTGTACATAACATTACTCTATGATCTATAATATCATAAAAACTGTAATATATAAATTGATTATATGAAACAGAAATAACCATAAATTCTTTTATAAAAATTCATAAAATATATAATTTAATACATTCTAAGAGTTTTGCTTGATATTTTTTGTCTGTTAAGTACGAATTCAGCTAATGAAAGTTTGTACTTTAAAAATAAAATCGTAAGAGTGATGCATTCGATTCGAACATTGAGCAAGCGCAGCTGTGCAAATTTATCATGTTTTCGCAACGTGTACTAACCAGGCGTAAATCGTTGATGCCATACAGTACAGCGGTGAGATTGTCCTTAGCCATGTTCCTACAGAAATAGATAATATATAGTCGTCAGTAATGAACCGTCTGCGTCAAGTCGCTTCCGGATATTTTGACAAGCACAAGAATGCACGAGGGACGGGACTCTGCGTTCAAGAGAGAACTCTCGCTGCTATATATATACAGGCGCCGCAATTATATACGTGTGTACTTGGAGCTATCACCGCGGCCTTATTATCGCCTGCTAGACCGTTTTCTTCACCGCCACTGCCACCACCATCACTATCAGCGAACATCCTTCGTGGCGCGAAATTATCGAACGGTTTAATTTGTTCATATCTCGCAACCGCACCATCAATCGTTGCGTAATGCTGTCGCAGAAATACGTTGTTCTGTCGGAACTATAAGTAAATCGATTTGTGTACCGTGTATGCAGTCCCACTTTTTCCTTCCTACTATCAATCGGTCCTATGTCCGCAGATAGCGTGTTGTGTTGCGCTCGCGAAGCAACGTGACATAACACAGGATAGAGGAGACAAAATAAATAGATAAAACAAAATTTGTACTTCCTATTCTTCTCTTGATCGTATACCCCTTTCGGCAGGGAGATTCTCCTCTTGCACTTGAAGTAGAACTGTAGCTTATTGGGAACGACGAATTTTCTCCAAAGATCTTTAGTGTGCCACATTTAAGAGAGATACTTCTTAAAAATCTCCCAATTGGTCCGATATTTTAAGAGAAGGGATTTCATTATACTTCCTGATTGGAAAGAACTAGGAGAAATGGAGAAAGTCAGGGAATCTGATTCTGAGTGACATGTGGTCGACGGATTACATGTGATCTACAGATGATTACTTCGGAGAAATCTGATGTTGTGTGAAAGGTTTACTTAGAATTTTAAAAAATTAATTTTGAATCCAGTTGTTAATTTGTTATGTAGAAAGAATCTGCATCTTTAGAATTTCTATGTTTGATTTAAAGATTAAATTATCAATGCATATTTCCAATCTGACCTCATGTATGTTTAAATCAGATTGATATATATGTACATATATAAGTAAACCAATATTATTTCACATTAGTTTACCTATACAAATTTTGATAATATCTATTTTACAATTAACAAAATACTCGTTTCGGTCTTGATTGTATACCTCTCTACAGAGAGACTCTTCTTTCTTGGAGTTGAACTGTTTTTTCTTGAGAACGACGAATTTTCTCCAAAGATACCCGAAATTTTTATTAAACCTATATTTAGGAGATATTTCAAAATTCGAAACAAGTCATTAAATATTACAAAATGATAAAATTAAAGCAATCTGAAATGAATAGGATTTAGTTCTTAAGATAAAACTTTAACATTTTTGTATCCGTCCTTGGAGGAACAATACTACATTTTTAATATTTTTTTTCCTATTATGAGAAATATTTGATTTTAATAATAACGCTTTTATCTATCTCGAATATGTCTACGATCTTATCTTTATTAAAGTAAATAGATCGGAATAATAAACAAAGATAGAATCTGAAATTGCATTGTATGTAATAAAATGTACAAATAATGAAAAGAAATAATTGTATTCATGCATACATGTATTGCGACAAATGATTTACAACAGTATTTTGTTAATTATATTTGTAAAATACATGTAAATAACTTACAATAACTTCATTCCCAACCCCAAATTCCAGTCGATTCTTTAATTTCAGCCCTATTGTCCCTTCGTATCCTCGTCACTGCGCTTGCTTCTCCTTTAGCAAGTGCCCGCTTCGTTTGGCTCCTCTCGCGTTTGTCAAGTGCTAATTTTGTTCTCTTCTTTATCACATCTGGTGCAATTGTAGCAGCTGTTGAAGCACTTCGTATACTTCGTGTATCATCATAAAAATGTACAGCTTCATTTTCCACATTTGATGATAAATCACACGATGTATGATCATTGTGTTCTTCATTATCAATTACATTTTCTACCGTTACGTCTTCTTTCTCTCGTTTACATTCATTTTCCACATTACTTTGTTCGTCGGAACATGACACTGTATGTATTCCCTTCAAACGTTCATTATCATTATTTAGTGCTTTAGTGTCTTTTGGAACATCAAGTCCTTCTTTTACAATTTCATTTTGAAATTGTAAATCATTTAATTGATGTTCTAAATCTTCAATATTATCAACGCAATCCTCATACGTTTCTTCCTCGTTATCCTCATTGTCCTCACTGGACTCGTTGTCTTTTTCTTCTTTATATTCAATGCCAATTTCTGTCATGAGAGTATCAATTTCTTTTTCTATTTGTCTTGCAAAGCCACTGGCCTTGACTTCAGCATCTAGGCTGTCTTCGCGACTAAAATGAATAAATTAATTCGTTAGATCAGCAAGAAAATATAATAATCAAGATATAAGAAGAGGACAATTTTTAATTACTTACGACACATCCTGAAAAATTGGATACAATTCGCTCTCATAACCAAAACGTCTCTTAAAGAAATCACGGATACAGTTCACATCTCTTTCGAAATAGGCTTCCGCATTCTCGTGCTCTGTAGAAACCATCTGAGGAAAATCAATGACAACAGGCTTGCCGTCATCTTTGATCATTATATTGAATTCATTAAAATCTCCATGTATAACGCCATGATTCGCCAGTCTAACAATCAAATCCATGAGCTCGTCGTACAACGCTTCCACATTATTTACTTCATTTACATTACACCTAAGATAATATAAAGTACCCATCATATATAAAAGTGACTTGTCTAATAATTAAGTTCAATTAGTAATAAAATTGATAAACATACAGAGGTCCACCTTCAACCAGCTCCATGACAACGCAATGCCTGTTAAAGTCAATTGGTTTTGGCACAGGAAAACCTCTGTCCACAAGGGCTTTCATATACGCAAACTCTCTGGTTGCAGCGATTCTTGACAAATACAACCAAGATGCGGAATGTCTGTGCTGATGATAATCTCTTTTTTCTTTAATGTTTCGGAAGCACGTTCTACCCAGTCTGTGTAACTTTAGACAAAGCGGAGTCTCGTCTTCGTTGGAGACGACAAAAATGTTAGATTCTTTGCCAACACCAATCTGATTACCAAAGGAACAGATTGTTCCTCTTTGCGTCAAGACTTTTAAGGCTAAATAATCATAACCAGCGTTCGTCAAACGATAACCATCATCTGAAAATTTTGTTATAACATATTTTAAGTGTATTCTTAATAGAACCTCTCTCTCTATATATATATATATATGATCACATAAATTTCTATGCCTCACATCGTTTGCCTCGTTCGTAGCTGAGCAATTTATATTTGCACATTTCTTTCAGCAATTTATGAACTCCACCGTAACGCAGATTCGCTATTTGTGCGGCAAGTATCGCAGGTACGAGTTCATGATTTTTCATGCCCATTTCAATCTAAAATATAAAAAAAAATTAAAACTATTAGAAGAAAAAGAAAAGTAAAGGCATATAGAGATCCACAAAAATTTGTTTTTTTTTAAACTGTCTTATAAATTTTCATAAAAGAAGAGTGTACAAAACTCTTGTACATACTAATATATATTAATAATTAAAAGATACACACCGAAGTCAAAACACGAAAGTCTTCCGGGGTTAAATATCGTAGTATCTTAACGTCCAACTTTCCCATATTGGATTACAGATAAATGTCAGGACGATTTATATAACGCAAATTCAAACAAATTTATCTTAAAACATCAAACTTTTTAATTTATTTCTTCTATCTATCTTGTTGGATCGCCGTACATACATTACACTACATGTGCAATTTTGAGGTTATCACCGACACACCTCACATCTGTGCATAGATTAGAAATATACATGAAAGTAAACTCTTCTCGAAATTCGAAATCGATTGTATGTTCATTTTGTAATGAATGTGTCCGGATCTTTTTCGACTTACAATTAAATCATTTTTTAAAAATACTTATGATAGAGATATTTAAAAAAGATAAAAAAGAGAAATTTGGCAATTTTTTATTTATCATGTATAAACACGGTTAGAACATTAAAATTAAGCTTCTGAATTGTATCTTACAGCAGTTTTTTCGTAATATATATATTTAAACACACACACACACACACACACACACTCTGCAAAGTGGAGCATTAGTCAATTTATGTCGCTAAAATGGAAAAGTATACCGACTGTGTTAATTCTTGTTGGAAAACGTACAATATCTCATTCGGTAATCATGAAACGGAGCTTTATGATATTTATCTTGCACAGCGTTGCATAATAATACATAGGTACATGTATATGTATTAGAGAAACTGATTCATAATTATTTTCTCTAATTTAAAAAGTAATTACTGCGTGACCAATTTCTCTGTCCATGATCCGCTCCGCGGACTCGCAAATCCGTTTGAACGGCCCTTTACGTCCAACGCCGTTCATTCATGTTGATAATCGCGAGCGGTGAATCGCGCAAAAGGGCCGAGCCGAGCTGTCGTCGCTGTGTCGACAGTGTCGACGGAACCGCTCGAAAGAGTCGATCGGTCGCCCCTCCTCGAGATCGCTCGACGGTAATAACAATAAAAAAAAAAGAGAGAAACAAATCGGTGCGTTGAACCGGTTGAATCCGTGCGGCGCGGCGCGGTAGTGAGAGCTGCGACGGCTGCGTGTGGTGTGCGTGCGTCAGAGAAAAAGCGGTGCGCGCGTCAAAAGTTATGAAAATGCGTCCGGCCGCCGATTCAACGACGCGCTGAGTCCGCGCCCAATTCGACCCCGCGTCGTCGTCGTCGTCGTCGCCGCCGTGGACGATGGGCAAACCCGGCGCGCCCGCGATTGTTGCACACGCCTGAAAGAAATTCATCGGCCATCCCGCAGGTACGTGCGGCCGCAGGAGCCCAGCCGGAGCGTGGCGGCGGAGGAGCGGCCGACGGTCGTCGGGGACGTTCGCGTGCAATTCCGTCTCTCCGATTTCCCCCCGAAACCGCGCTCGACGTTGCAACGATCGCGCTGTCACGCGCCGGCCGTACTCCTTCCTGCCGCTCGCTCGCACAATACCCTATAAATCATACGTCCGCGAGAGTAAGGAATGCGAGATATCGGCAAGGTTATACGAGAGCACCGCGGACGCGCGCGCGCGCGCGCGCGGTTATCGCCGATAGCCGGACGGAGGCGAGACGTGTTTGCGCGCGCGGGCGCGCTTCCTCCCGCCCGCCCGCTCGCGACGCTTGTTGAAATTCCGAGAAATCGCGGAAGTCGCGACAGCTCGAGGTAAGTCGTGATATTTCAACTGGCCATCGGTGTCCCGTGCGATCGGTGTTTTAAGTCATGATGGTGCGAAAAAAAAAAAAATGTCGCGCTACGTCTGCATTTACAAAAGAGTAAAGGTCGCGCCGGCCGTCATCGCGCGCTCGTTACACTTCGATTGTAGTGTGTTATCGCGGATACGTGCTATCTCTTTAAACGGTCACGTTGTGAGTCACGTTGACGTGAATTTTAATTTCGTAATTTCCTTGATTCACGGGTCCGTATTGGCAATTCAGCTGATCGCACGTATATCGCGTGGCGGTAGCGATGTTGCGTTAGAGCGCTATCGGTATACATGTGTAACGCGCGTGTTGTGCGATAGAATTGAAGGCCGGATCAATCTTTGCCTGCGAAGTTTGAAAATAGTCTATTCCCGTCGTTCACCGAGCACGACCCACACCGACTGCCACAATTTAGGTTAATGAGAGCTGTCACGATTGCGAAACGCGACATCTGAAATTCCCCGGCGATTGCGCCTAGCAGGAGTGATATTTACATAAAGAAACACGCGAATGTAATCGCGCTTTCCGAGAATTGTGCGTGCGATCGTAGATTATAATATTCCAAACTCGCATGACACTAGTTATTAAATGCTCATTGCAATTTGCAGGAATAATGTTGAACAGTATAACGAAACACATTTTGCACTGCTGCCTGCTGCTCGTGGTCATATTAGTATTCGAATTTGTATCCGGTGGCCTTCGGTGGAATACAGATAAGAAGGAAGAAATTGACCCATGGACAAGATATGGCATTATCGGTGCAATTACCTTGTACCTGCTGCGCACAGTGACGTTTCTCTCCTTCCCCCAAGTCTTGTTCAATTTCATAGGATTAACGATATACAATGCATTCCCCGATAAAGTGGTCCTGAAGGGCTCGCCCCTGCTCGCACCGTTCATCTGTATAAGGATAGTGACCCGCGGGGATTATCCGCAGCTAGTGAAGACGAATGTGAAGAGGAACCTGGACAAATGCACAGAGGCCGGCCTCGAGAACTTCCAAATAGAAGTCGTGAGCGACAAGCCGATAGGATTGACGCCGCATCGCCGGGTGCGGGAAGTTGTTGTCCCACCGAATTACCGCACAAGTAGCGGTGCCTTGTTCAAGGCTCGTGCTTTACAATACTGCCTCGAGAGCTCGGTAAACGAATTGGCTGATCACGACTGGATTGTCCACCTCGACGAGGAGACTCTGCTGACTGAAAACTCCGTTCGCGGTATACTGAACTTTGTACTGGACGGCAAGCATCAATTTGGCCAAGGGTTGATCACGTACGCCAATGAGGATGTCGTCAACTGGATCACGACCCTGGCCGACAGCTTCAGAGTGGCGGACGATATGGGAAAGCTAAGATTACAATTCACCATGTTTCACAAGCCATTTTTTAGCATGAAAGGATCCTATGTGGTCACACAGGTAATTACCGATAATCTAGTTATGAGAAATTTATGTAGATTTATGTAAATTGTTAAAGATAATGTATCACTTTTCCTTATATATACATATTATTTTTATCCTAATTATATATAATAAAAATGTCAATATCTTATTTTAAATATATTATTAGTGTTACTATCTTAACATAAACTAAAGCAGTGACATAATTAAACTAATATATATATATATATATATATATAAAATTTGTTCTATTTCTACATTAGGTTTCTTTTATGAACATTACAGATGGGAGCAGAAAAACAGGTTTCATTTAATAATGGATTGGACGGATCCGTCGCGGAAGATTGTTTCTTTGCCATGAAGGCGTTTTCCCAGGGATATACGTTCAACTTCGTGGACGGCGAAATGTGGGAGAAATCACCGTTTTCACTGTGGGACTTCGTACAGCAGAGAAAAAGATGGCTGCAAGGTATACTACTTGTCGTGCATTCCAAAGCGATTCCACTAAGAAAAAAATTGTTGTTGGGTATTTCGTGTTACTCGTGGGTGACGATGCCTCTCTCCACGTCTAACATCGTCCTGGCCGGATTATGTCCGATCACTTGCCCACCGTTGATTGACTTTCTCTGCGCGTTCATCGGCGCGGTGAATATCTACATGTATGTGTTCGGAGTAGTCAAATCGTTCTCCCTGTATCGTTTCGGTGTCGCCCGATTTATGATGTGTATATGCGGTGCACTGTCCACTATTCCGTTCAATATAATCATTGAGAATGTCGCGGTGATATGGGGCTTGTTCGGTAAGAAGCACAAGTTTTATGTCGTTAACAAGGAATTCAGGCCGCCCGTGACCGTATGATGCGTCATCAGTTTAGAGCCATTATCTCTAACTGGCGCATACTTAGCAACAGCGTAATGTTTCCATTGTGCGTGTGCATAATTAGTACCTGTAAATTTACATAGGAAAATATATCACTGTCACAAACGGAATATTTATAGTTAGTATTATACGTGGGAATTGCGAGATTCCTAAGATAGATCGATTGATCAATTTCAGAACAGAAAAAAATGGAAGGTATACAGCAATAGGTAGATGCAGTATTAGAAACGTATTCTATACATTGGCATTAAAAAACATTGCCAAATTTGTTAAAAGTATTAATACGTAAAAAATATATTTATGCCAATATCATATTCTCATAGTGCAAAATACATGTCATATACATATATGTATATATACACTTTGATCTCATGTAAATGTCATGTGTGAATGTTTAGCATTCGTTAAGTTGCATATCATTTTACATGTTCCTTTTCTTGCACCAATTTTCTCTTGTCGTGTTCAGAGATATCTTTTTTTGCCATATCATAGTATTTTCTTCTTAATATTCACTTAATATCTCACGAAGTGTTATGTATATTACAATCATATTAACATTTTAACAATGTTTGAAATTTTTTTCAGACATTTGTCTATATTTTTTAATAGCAATAAGCCATTTGAATGCATCATTAATTCGGAAAACTGTGATAAATCTTGCTTTCCTATAATAACATATTAACAACATCCTTGTTTAAAAATATATAGAAACATGTATTAAGCTTAATGCAAACAAATTTAAAAAATAACGTATAGAGTGAGTCACAAAATATTTCGTTGTCTTAATACCGAAGTATACATATATAATAGTTTTTCATTATTTGGGATTTTACACACTTTTAATTAATGACAAAGCTAATCATACATTTACATCAATTGATATATGTACACTGTACTTAATAAGGTTAATTTAATTGTTTAACAATATATATATATGAAAATTCTGAAAAGATATAAAAATATGATTTTTATGTTAAAATCTTATAAAATCAAAAAATTGTCTATTTCTTGTAATTAACTTAATTAATATTTTAAAGACTATGAACAAATTATGAAGATATATATGTGGAAAAGTGATAAATTTTAATGGAAAGACATTTGTATCAAATTAATTTTTTGTGAAATATTAAATATTAGAAATATTAAATATGAAATATTATTGTCATATTCTTAAAAATAAAATGTGAAAATGTTAAATTTTTTAATATAATCTGATTCTGTTATGCTCTGCATAAAGTTTTACTTATTATATTGTGCATATAAAAGCATGTGAAAAGATATATGTACATATATATATAAAATATAAATGATCACTTTGTTACAATTATACATTTCTATAAAACATTTTGTATCAACATTCGTAATAATTCAGCTTTTAAATAATTTTTTATGGCTTTTTAACTTACTAAGCAAATTAAGGCTTCCTAAAGCTTTGTATATTAATATAAATTGTATAACGTGCATTTTCAAAACTCCAAATATTATCTTTATAATAAAATAATGGGATTGTTTTAGAAATAATCGAGCAATATATTTAGCAAGACTTATAATATCTAGTCAAGAAGATATAAAGCACACGTGAAATTTCCGTCAAACACATGTTAACATAAATTTTTATTAGCACTGTATTAGTGCGGTGAGATATTATTCCCAAATATTTTGTGTTCAAATAAAAAAAAAAGAAAGGAATTACAGTTCGGCAGATATTTCCGAGAGTATTTTCGCTCTTTGATAATCAAATTTTAGTGGAATTTTATATACATGTAGTTTAATATTATAGATGATTAATATTAATGCGATTTTAAATTGCTGTGTTCAACACTTAAAAATGTATTTATTCTAATGCAGAATTTACATTGTAGCATTGATATTACGAAGGTCGCTATAACTTATATAACTTCATACAGCATCGATACATTCTCGACGTAATTATTTTTTGTTATGCTGGAAACATTTCATAGTAGAAGTTAAAATTACATAATTAATATTGCTAAATAATCGTGGATCCGTGTATATTGCATTACACTCGTTGTAAAATGTTCGCACATACATATAAACAAGTTTTTTAAGTATTTTATTTTGTTGTGTCAGTGAAAAATAACAAGCCCACTAGTCTTATGTATCAGCCATTTATTTCATTTTTCTAACAGCGATATCAGTTTATAAATTGAATATAGTAAATATGAATGCACACAAAAGTATAAAATCTATATTAATTTAAGATCTAAATGTAATCAGGATTTCTCAACTCGTTTGGATTAATTTACTTTTTTTTATTCCTAAATATTACTTCAGATTACGATAAATAAATGTAAATGGAATTTGCAATAAATCTATAAAATATTCTTTTGAAATTTTAGTAAAAGATTAATTTATTTCTATATTTATATTTCATCTCGATAAATTCTGTTTATTATGTATATTTGTTTATCATGTAACGATTATAAATTTGAGAAACCTTTGGATCACGCATCAAATGTTGAATTGAACAAAGCAGCAATACCTCTTTTTTTTTGTAACGAAGAATAATAAGAATTATTTGCATACTGTATACAATTTTAACATAATTGTCTTTAGTATTATCTTATGTAAATCATCAATTTGTCTTTTGTCAGATATAATTTTATTTTTTTCGCACACACACACACACACACACACGCATACACGTACTAATTAATCGATGCATCTTAAGAGACCAATGATTAAACCAGTGATTGAATTATATTACACAAATATTCTCATATCATGTAGCGTATTATATTAAGCAAAAAATTTGCGTGCGCGCGCCAGTGTTATATAGATCGTATTCACTGATAAAATTCTGAATTGTTATGACAATTGCAATTGTAATAAGAGTAACATTAAGAATCGATGATTTATGATATTGAAAAAATAAAAAGGAAATTGAAAGTAAAAATTGCTTTAGTAATAAGTGCTTGTGTATCTTTTTTCATTCTTATTCTCAAGTTTATAAAACTCTGTTTTCAATGTTTCTTTAACTTTTATTGTTCCATCTAACATTCGATGTCTTAAATTTTTTGACCAAAAATTTTTTTTTGTTTCTTTCTTTAATTTTATTATCCCCAACAAATGATGATATCAACGGTAAAAGGTATGATTTGAAAGTTATATTCTTTTTAATACATTTCAGCAAAGTTGCGAAGGAGATTATTCGTTAGATCATCAACTTCGATCAAAATCCTAAAGTTTAACTTAACAAACAATTAAATTAATTATTCTTTGCAGCATCATTTTTATTTATATCTTTGTATTGTACAATTTTTTATCTCTAATCTTTTTTTTATGTATTAAGACTTCTGATAGTTCTGACTCCTGACTACTCAGCTAAAAATTCCGCGTTGACGGCGATTCTATATCGCGGATGGAATTAGAACCTTGTTCATCGTACTATAGACCCGTTCTACAATATGTCATATGTCGGTGTCATAAGTCGTAAGCCGTAAGAATTCTACGTTTTTATTTCATTCAATGTGAAGAGAACACTCGATTGTGAGTGATCAATTCTTACTGTTTAAACGATACGGGTATATTGTAGAACGAATCTTATTGTGGTCTTATTGTTGACAATGAAATTTTATCGTGCACGTTACTTCGTTATTATATGGTTAATTGTAAAAATGTGACTTGTCTCATATTAAATTCGTAAAGATTGTAAAAATGGATAGAAAATAATGTTTTCTTTGAATTTTACCTACGTAAAAGCATATTTTTCACTCCTTTCAACAGCTATCAAATCGTTTGTTTTCTTGCCTGAATAGGCTTCATTTCATGTGTCTTTTACGACTGTTTATCAGACTGTCAGAGAGGAAAATATAATTTCCATCTATTTTTACAAGTTTTTTTAAAGTGATCCTATTTTTTTATTTTATTCAAATTCTCTTTATTTAAAAATGGCATGCAATAAACTTTTACATGTCATTTCTCGCTTATGACATCACGATTTTAATATGATTTATGTGACAAGTCAAGAGCCTTAAACAGAAAATTATTTCATGTCAAAATACAAGTATCATTTGGCAAGCTAATTGCTGATTAGGTCTAATCTAAATTTGATCATTATTTGATGCACAATAGTTGCAGAATATATATTCATAGTTTATATTGGAGAGAAAAAAATGGACAAGAAATTTCATCTACGGGGTTTTGTATAATTTTCACTCATGTTTCATAAAAATATTTCAGGAACAAAGAAGAAGGAAGAGGGAGAGAGATAGAGGCTGTAACTGAAATAATTTAACAATTTTCGTTGTTTCTTTATTTTTTAATTAATGACTCGGCAATTTGTTGATCATCAAAAAATTTTGTTGGAATATTAAAAATAATAAGCATTACTATAAAACGTTTTGATATTCAAGCAATTATTTTGACTTTTCCACAAAATTATTTTGATTAAACAAAAATTATACTTTCAGATCTGGAAAATTGTTCTTTCCGTGTACTATTTATTGCACGCTAAAATATTTATTAATTTATTTCAAGCACAGAATAGTAATGTTAAAGCGCGAATCTAAATACTGCGATGTGATTGGTTCGCTATTTCAATTATCCGCCAATCGCAGCGTCGCACTTAAACTTCGAAATCAGTCGAAATGCACCGCGACGCGCGACGGTCATGTTCGAATCGCTCCGATTGCTTTTCCGCAATTGTTTCCGTCGACGTACAAATCTTGCGAGCGATAAATTATTCGCGGGTGTCTCGCGAGGTGTTGGACGTTTGCGACGCGCAATATCCTGTGCATCACTGACTCTCGCCTCTGCGTGCCCGGCCAGATTTTTCTTCGCCATTCTCTCGCCGAGATGCAACAGACGCGGTCCGGCGCCAGGTATGTCGCTTTTACAATTAACTGCGCCAATATTATTTCTGCATTTTCACGAGCCAATAATACGTAGGTAATTTTAATGTTTGCCAAGAGCGTGTAAAGTTCTCGAGATAATTAATAAAACGAGAGCTTGTCCGACGAGCGGGTTTGCATCGAGTTTTGCATTATCGACCGCAATGATCGTGATAAATATTTTACGTCGTCGGTTGCTACGAGCTTCCGAGAACTACGGCTAGATGTCGCTGTATACTCGAAAGCGTATCAGACCAGATGCGATCATTTGACGTTTATTTTTTTGAGGTTAGTTTCCTATTGGAGTTATATATGTGAGTTTCGCTCCAGCTCGCTCTCTCGCAATGAGAGTTCGAAGTTGCGTCAAATGTTGATAATTTTAAGAAACACTTGATATACTCTTAGAAGCGCATTGAAAAGTGCCGCGGTGCGCATTAATTGCACGTAACGTAAAAAGTGATTTTTACAAATCATTTCGTCCCGTCTAACCGCGATTTGCACGTGGAGCCACATAAGAGTTTTCGTATTATTCGTAACACAGTCGCCAAGATCCTGACAATTTTTTTTATCAATTGTATTCGCGTACGCGAATTACACGGGTTACCATGAATACGAAGATGTGTAATAAGGACGTTCTGCAAGCCGTTATTCTCGCGGACGATTTCACCACGAGATTAACTCCGGCGCAGAAGGTGTTCCCGAGTGTTCTGATGCCCGTGATAACCGTACCGCTCCTCGACTACATGATCGAAACGCTGAAGAAGTCGAGGGTGCAAGAGGTGTTCCTCTACTGCAGCAGTCACGTGGATCTGCTGAAGAAATACACGAAGAAGAAGTTTTACAACATCACGGTCTCCTTGATCATTTCCGACGGCTGCAGATCCCTCGGAGATGCTCTGCGAGATATCGATACGAAAGGATTGATCAGAGGCTATTTCATCCTGATTCGCGGTACCGTCTTTACCAATGCGGATCTTAAAACCCTATTCAACGCTCATCGTTTGAAAGCCGAGAAGTATAAGGGAGCGGCTATGACTATGGTGTTACGAAACTGCGGTTCGATGAAGGATTCCAGTCTCAACGAGGAAGCGTCTCTAGTTGTATCGGATAAGAGCAGCAATAAAATTCTGTATTACACCAAACTGAAGGACAGTGGGAAGAAAGTGAAGCTAGAATTAAACTGGTTTCTCAATCATGACGCAGTGGAAATTCACTCTTGTTACTTGGACACTCACATCTACTTGTGTTCGCCATCTGTTTTACCACTCTTCGCTGATAACTTTGACTTTCAGGTAAGTGAAATCAGCTGAATTACCTTTTTCTTTTTTAATTTAAAGCTTCAACACAATTATCTTTAATTATATCTATTAATATTCAACACAATTATCTTTAATTATATCTAATAGTGAAACAAGTAATTTAATGAACGAAATATTCTTGTGTTTTTAGACTATGGATGATTTTATTCGAGGGGTAGTGATGAACGAGGAAATTTTGGACTCGAGGATCTACTGGCAGCAGTTAAGCGCAGAGGATTATGCCTTGCCGATCACGTCGTGGAAGGCTCATCATATACTTACCCAGGACGTTTTGCGTAGATATAGTTTTCCGCTAGCACCGAACGCTCTCTCTTTGCTAAAGAACTTTAAGTGCATGCCGCGGAGTACATATAAACACAAAACTGCTACTTTCGCTAAAGGTTGTTCATTAGAAAAAGATTGTATTCTTGGATCTAATAGTTCGTTAGGAAATAATACTAAAGTTGCGACATCTGTGATTTCAGACGATTGTACTATAGGCAGTAATGTTACTATATATGATTCTTATATCTTTTCGAACGTCAGAATCAAAGATAATTGCACTATTGAGAATAGTATCTTATTTCCGAATTGCATTATCAGGTACGATAGCAAAATTAACAAATGTATATTGTGTTCTGGAGTCGACATTGCTGCTCGCAGTGAATACGTCGATACTTTTATCGAATCTACATCTTCCGGTATTTCCGAGACTAAAATGTCAAATGTCGAGGCTAACGACGACTGTAAGAACGCTGAAGATTGCTCCACCGAGTCGTCCAGCAACGAGGAGGATCTGGAGTGTGATTCTCCAATTCCGGACGACACGAATATGTTCTTGTCCGAGGTTATCGACAGCCTGTTGCGCGGTTATCAGGATAAGCTTAATTGCGAGAACTTAATTCTAGAGATAAACTCGTCGAGGTACGCGTACAACGTTACTATGCGCGAGGTCACGTATAATGTCATTAAAGCGATTCTCAGTCTGCCACTGCACTACCTTTCCGAAACGAAGACTGCCGTTAGCAATCAGAATTATCAAAAGAATCTGAAAATTATGATAACCTATTTTAATACCATCATTCTGAATTACGTTAAGAACGAGGACGCGCAGGGGGACTGTTTGCGTGCTATAGAAGACGTCGCTAGTACAACCGACGAGTTACTGCCGTACACGCAACACCTGTTGCATCAGTTTTACGATCGCGATATACTATCTGAAGAAAAGATTTTAGAGTGGTATGAGTCTACTGGTGAGGACGGGGATGCGCTTCACATAAAAGTGAAAAACGCCGTTCAGCCATTCATTCAATGGCTGCGAGAGGCGGAGGAAGATTCCACTGAGAGCGATGATTAATTTTGTTTTTTTCTATTATAACTATATGAATGTAAAAAGAGATTAATATAACACATGTGAATATATTGCCGACAAATTTTTGACAAAAACGGCACTCTGTTCTCAACTTCTTTATTTTCGTATATCAACCGCTTAATATTTTATAATACTTAATTTTTGAGCAACGATAAATCACACGCACAGATACACGCGCGTCAAGTATATTGTACGCGTATGTGCGTACGTATAAATGTAAATGTATATAACGTGTCGATAAAGCCCCCATATACTTCGTGTATTTAACCTTGACCTGCTTTCCGATTACCGAAACGGAGCCATTCATTCCATAGGTACGTCCATCTCCGCCAGACTGTGCCACGCCAAATGTCGATGATCCGGGAACTTGATCGCGTCTATCCAGTGTCGCAAACGCGCCCCTTTGCTACCGCAACCTAACATAAGGCCGCCTGTAAATTGCAAAAATGTACAGATACGCGTAAAATATAAGTATTTTATGTAGATAATAGATATTTAAACTTTAATTATGGGAACTTTGGAGTTCTAATAATTTTAGTTCAGTAATCATAGCTGAAAATAGAAGATAATTACTGTTCTTCATGTTTAAGATATTGAAGATAATATAATTTTTCTGAAAGATAAACGATAATAAGCAATGGCCTATATCTTCAGGCAAACCAGTTACGTAAATAAGTATAAAATTTAATATTAACGACGATTAACGTCTCTTAACATTTTTCAATCTTAATTTCTAATTATATAATAACTATTTATTTATATTAATTTTATATTTTATATTTGCTATTAGAGCACAGCTAATTTATATTGTTCATAAACAGGATACGAGAGATTTTGGATTATATATAATTTTCAAATATAATCTGTAAATTTTTAACATACGCTCAGAATTGAAAAAAAGAGGGACGGGCAGTAAAGTGATTAATGATAGCTCGCAGTACCCAGATAGTCGTTACTCTTGCCGAAGTCCTTGTCCCACACGGATAGGCATAGCGTCAGCTTCATTAGCTCCGTCAAGCGAGTCGCGAAAACGAACTCTTCGTTCCACTCTGGATTCAGCGTCTTCCGCTTGATGCTCGTGCTCTGCGAGCCGCGGCCGGCCGTCTTTTTCCCGGTCAGCTTTTTGGCAGTAGCGCGAGCGGCCGAGTAGTCTAGGAACCGTTGCTGCCGATGATTGTCGGTCGCATCCTCGACGAGTGCCAGTTTGACGAATGGGTCAGAAAACCCGTTGCTGTCCATGGGCAGGAGATTCGTAGCGCGGTGCACCGTGACCAGCAGCGCACGTCGACGCGTGCAATAGCTCAGGCTTATCTGGATCTGCCCACGACCGCTTGAACACATGCCCCAGGTTTCCTCTTCGTTGTCCACCTACGTCAGAATAATCGACATACACGTGTCGATAAGAAATGCTTATTTCGTATATTTTTTTATATGAATTATATAGATTTATTCCGCGAATAATTAATCTTATTTATTTTAAACAAAGAGAGCATTCCGTTTGCCTTCATTCGCTGCGCTCGTCATTCTGAATATAAAAGTTAATTTTATTATGAGTAATATTTGAATTAAATTAAATATAACACGTTTAATTATATGAGGTATACTTTTGTTTTCAACATACTGGATAATGAGCTTGCAGAGAAATTTTGTAATGTTTCGTTTGACATGGTATCAATTCGTGTAGGGGAAATCTCGCCTCTCCCAGGAAATCTTGGCCCGAGGGATCGTCCTGAATGATTAGGATGTGCAATGCCTTGCCGGTTGAGATCTATAGCATGAGAAATTTCCAGCATGTATTTATCGTTATCAATCGCGAACGGATTGATGTGATTGGTGTTACAATATCGATCTTTACGTCGGTTTCCGTCGTTCCGTAGAAATTCACCGTCTCGTTGAACTCGGGATCGCGTGTCTTGTGCACCGTCTTCGTACGTAGACGTCTGCTTGTCGACGCCTTCCCGACGGGTAGTATGTTCAGTTTGCAAAAGGGATCGGCGAGGCCTTGAATATCCATGGGTCTGAGACGACGTGCACGTTCCACCTTGCACTGGAGGCACTGATCTGCCGGGTCGTATCGCAAGGAGACTTCGAGAGTTCCATAATCTTGTCCCGTTTCTGTTTGATTTCAATATTTTGGTAATTCAGTATGTTTAATTTTCTTCAAATTAAAACTAAACTTGCACAATTATTGATTCTTTATACAGTTATTTCTTTATAGTTTTTCTCTTATTAAATTTTTTGATATAAGTGTTACAATGTTTTAAAACGAGATGCCTTGATAAGTAAACTTCAGAAACATAAAATTAATTTACAAAAAATTTTTTTATTATTTTGTTTTTAGTTTATTAAAATTCCTTTTTAATTAATATTAAAATTATTTATTTCTGTAATTTATTGTCAAAAATAATTTCAACGTTTAACGAGAAATATCATTCTAGAGATGATCTTTTTCATGAGATTATATAACATTTTATTTAAGTCAAGAAATAAATTTATGATTTAGCAACAAAAATATTTATATAAAAACGAAAGATTGCATTAATCAGAAATGTCTGTGTTTAAATTATGAGTGACGAACAATTTTATTGTAGCCAATAATTGTGCAGTTTTTTCATATATCGCTATTTAGAGAAGAATCTTGACCTCGTGGATATTCCGGGGTTCTTGATATTTTGACTTGGCTGTTGCTGCGAGTGCTGGAAGAGCTGTTCTGGTCCGAGCAGGACCTGCTCGCTTCCCGTTCCGCGTTCCTCTCTTGTAGAATCTTGCCCATCGTCTGAAACTCGACCGGTGTGGTCGGCGTCGTCGCTGCCGTCGCTGATTTTAGTCTATGGGAGACGGGCGATTTTTCCCGTAAGTTCAAACCTCCACTCCGTTCGTTATCATCTTTACCTTACCTGAGAGATTGTACCTGAGAGCCCTTCGACCGATCCAGGGACGTGGAAGCGTCTTTGCGAGTCTCCTCGGTGTCCTCCTCGTCGTCGTCCGCCTCGTTAGCCCTCTCGTCGTCTACGAAAATATTTTCGAAGGACACGCGTTGCTCCACCTGCAATTCATTCGGGCTCTTGCCGCTCGCCCTCGAGCGAGGGGTGCTGATCGAGCCTGTGGGCGAAAGTCGGCTGCATTGAGACGCGATCGAGAGACAGGACTTGTCCAACCTGTCGGAGCTGGTATCCTCGCGATAGCCCGAGGGCGACAGACCGTTTGGTCGTCCTCGAGCACTTCTCTGTGATGAGGTACTGGTTGCAGGACTCGAAATCGTCATCTTGGTAGGAGTGTTTTCACGATTGGTCGACAGATTCGTAGGAGAGTGACCGCGAGCTACCGCGAGTCGCCGCGTTGTATCGTCGTCGGATGAGGAATCCTGGGCGTCGGTTGAGTCCAAGGATCTACATGCACCGCCTATCGTCCATGTCGACGTTCTGTGACCAGGTCGACACCATCCTCGTTCCTAAAAATTTATACTACTTATACTATTATATTGATATACAATTATATAAAGAATATGAAAAGGGGAGAGATTTGAAGAAGTTTAAATATTTATCAGTGATCTTTTTACTTGTGTATATTAATAGTAGATATTTTGCAAAATATATTTCGCTTATGTATTTTTAAAAAACTGACAGTAGTAGAGCCAAGTTTGTTGGTATTGTAGACAGAAAATAAAAAATCGGACAGAATATGTTAGCATATAGTGTACCGAAAAAGATATATATATTGTATATATATATATATATATATATATATATATATCTTTTTCGGTACACTATATGCTAACATATTCTGTCCGATTTTTATTTTCTGTCTACAATATCAACAAACTTGGCAAACATATGTACACTAACAAGCATTTTTAACGTAGAATTTCTTTAAAAAATTATCAAAATGTAACCTGCAGAGAAAAAATAGGGAAACTGTCTGCGTAATTTAATCACATCGTAGATTTAATTATATATTTTTTCAGCTTTTTATAAAACGAGTTATTCGTGGAATTTCAATTCTACGAATTTAATTAAAAACTGTAGGATTTTTCTCTCTCATTCAAAATAAATTATATATATATATATATATATATATATATATATACATATATTTTTTTTTAAACAGAAATCAACTTTCAGTAACACAAAGGAAAAATAATTAAAATCGATCTTCTTCGGGCGCTGAATTCAATTTAAATGCGTTATTGTCGAATTTACAATTAGTATAATGATGTAAAAATGTTTTTATTTAAAAATGTTTTTGAAATTTTTTGAAATTTTACCTTCGCATTCTTCCACGTACCTTCTTCTCCGGTAGAATATACTTCGGCATCCCTTTGAAGAACCAAGCGCCACTCTTCTTCCACATCTCTCTGGTCTCGGCGCAAATTCGGCAGAGAAATTGCTTCTGCACGTTACCGTGGGATCTTGGAACGATCCTTTGAACGCCCGTACGTTCCTGAGCGAATCTCACGACGCGCAACGAACTGCGCGACGAGGTAGTCGCGTCATTTTCGTCGCCGTTTCCTTTCGACGGATTAAGTCTGGTCGCCTCGATGCCGCACTTCTGGCAGATGTACTTGCGGCAATCCTTGCAGAGATTCGCGCTCGCCCCCAGCACCGCGCCGAACTTTTCGCCGCAGAGTGCGCACGAACAGACGCAACGAGCTCCGCCGGAGCACCGGCGTCCGCAACCGCGTCTCTCGTTCGACCTTGTCGACGTTACGATGCACACGTTTCGCTTCATATTCTCTAGCCTCTCAACGAGTCTACCGACTCGTTCTTGTTCCGACAGATCCAGAGCCTCGGCCCTTTGTATCACCTGTTAAAAACATCTGCTTGAAACCAGAGATGAAATCGACCTAATTTTCATAAGACTGGTGTATTAAAAGACACTGTGCATCTGTCCTTTCTTGAGACTTGAAACTTTATTTGATTAACTTTGCTATTTATTTGTATTCAAGTCGTTAAAAAAGTGCATATTGCGCCATTATTGAATTAAGTTCTTGAATTTTCTCTTTGTTATAGATATAGTATAGTATTACATTGTTACGAATAAATTGAAATCCATTTAAATCTATTTTTCTCGTGTGTGTAACACGAGAATCTAAATACATCGAGATGATATTTTTTTAATAAATTTTAATTCCTTGTTTGGAACTCCATTTAACCATTCCTGTAATTTCTCGGTGAAGATAAAACTGCATAATTTAGTAGGTCAAATAGAGTGTGGTTGTTGCTAGGAATATTTTTGTCTTCAGGGAAAAGAGCATTGAAATTATTCAGTCCTATGTAAATAACTTTGTAAGTTATAGGTATTCTTGAATATTAAATATACACTGCGTATTAGTTACTTTTTAGTTGTTAAATATGGATGTAAGTCAAATTATTCCGTTGATAAAAAAGTGACACAAGTAAACAATTAACATTTTTGAATCTAAAATCTTTATGATCGATTTGATTTTATTATCACAAAAATGCATAATTTTTTTACTTGGTTCCATTATTAATTACTTCAAATATTATGATGTTTTAATCTCATGAAGAATAAATATAACATACTATTTTTTTAATGACATTTCTATTGAAAAAAATAACACGTGTTTGATTTTACTAAAAAGAATTCTGATTTTATTTATTTTTATATTGAAATAGTGATCGAAAAATCGGAAGAAAGGCTGAAATGTATCATAAAATGTATTGCTATACTGTGAGGTTTACCTGGATAATAGCTTTCCGTTCATCGTCACTGAGCAAGTAAGATTGTCCGCAACGATTGGAACTGCTCGTGCAGGAATTTGGATACTGTCCCCATCCATGGGATTCGAAAGATCCCGTTTTTACAGACCATCCTGTCCGCAATCTGTGTTCCAGAGTTAAATACAATTTATTACGGCATATTTTTTTTATAAAAACTTTCCTACTTATTTGTAAAAAAAGGTAATGAAAATATTTTATCTTCATTATTCTTTAAAGTATTTTTTAAAATAGACTTACTTCAGTGTCTGAAAGACTTGAATAGAAAAAAATGTTCTCTTTGATTTTATAGACATAAATAAGTTTTTGGATGTGTTAATAAACGAAAATAAAACATTTGTTATTATCAATGTAAGAGCTTTTAGAAATTGAAATCATCCATTGAAGCAAACTAACTAGCTATGGTATTTTTTGAGCGAATATCGGAAAAACACTAAAGTATACTAAAAAATATTTCGGATAAAAGTTTTATAGTTTAATACTATGCTATATGTACCGTATGTTATTGCAAGGTAATAACAAAAGTTATTCGTAATTGCATGCATAATATACAACATAATATTGCGCAATATTATGATAATGTTATTGCAAGGTAATAACAAAAGTTATTCGTAATTGCATGCATAATATACAACATAATATTGCGCAATATTATGATAATGTATGTAATTACTTTTTACTTATATTTCCAAATTTGTGTGATATTTTTAAGAATTTAAAGAATTTTATTTACAGAATTTTTTTTAATTTTATAAAATTGATTATACTAGATATAAATAATATCTTATTTAAAAGAACATTATTAATATCTAGAAAAGCATTAAAAGCCAGTAGAAAAATAATGATATAAAAAATCTACAAATAAATGATTAAATTTGAGACTAAAAATTTTACAAACTGGAATTGTTAACATATTAACTGTTAACTAATTCAAAAACCATGATTGCTTATTAAAGAAATTTAAATTTGTTAAATTTGTTCTAAGTTTGTCCAAAAAATCCTCGTCAGAAAGAGCTTTGATACATACACTTTGTAAATATAATTTAGGATAAAATCACGTATCTACTTATTATAAAGAGTGCCTCATTATTTCACTCCTCCGTAAAAGCATGGAAAATTTCGAGTAATGCCTGAATAATATTAATCTGGAAAAAGTAAACTTAAAAGATAAATTTTCAAGATTTAATCTTCACACGTTTTCGTACGGATATATTTGTAAAAAGATGAAAAAAAGTATTCTACAATATTCAGTAGGAGTCAGAAGGGCAATCATATATGGATTTTATATATATATATATATAAATGTTCGTAATTATGTGCAGAATATGCAATATAGTGCACAATATAATAAAATATTTTTCATATATGGTACAATAATTTTTACTTTTTAGTATTAAAAATAATTGAATGTGAGCATAGAATTAGTTATGATAGAAATCTGCACATAATTACGAACATTTATCTTTATTGTGATTTTGTCGTATATATGCAGTTGTATTGTAGTTGTATAATGCTGAAAAAATTGCTGTCAAGCACAACGTATATGTATATGACCGCGGCGCATGTTGCGTGATATTTACAGCTCATTATCAAAAAATGCAATATGTTTATATAAATGGCGAAAAAAACGCTTTTTAATTTCTGTTTACACAAATTTTTTAATTTGCAAAAATAATAATGAGACTATACCGAAACGGTATAATACTCTGTATAACACTAAAAAAAACATTTTAAAAAATATCATAAAACTGCTATTTTAAATGCTCTTTTCATATGCTTCATAGTTTCAACAATATTCGTTAAAAATCAAATATATCGAGATAACCTTTAAAATATTGTTTAAAATTGAAGACGAAGCACTTATAAGAGAATATATTTTTTATTTTCAACTTTTCTGTAATTTATTCCAAATTCGTCAAACTGTCTTGATATAGAAGATTATTTCTGTGTTTTTTTTCTTAAACGTAGGAAAATAGTTCATGTTATTTTTTAAGCATTGATATTTATTTTAGCTGCCAATTAATGTTAAAACTCACTTTGCTCGCAACGCCAATTGCCGATCATTTGGGCAAACCCATCTACCACGTCGTGTTATTGGTTCATCCATTTCGCCGCGAGTTATTTTGTTTCCAGCGCACCGTTTGCTCCTCTTTCTTCTTCTCTTTTTTTTTCTTTTTCTCTTCTTTCCCTCTCTTCGTGTAGGATCAGTCTATCTGTAACAATAAATATTTGCAATCTATCATAAGTTTATATAAATGTTATTTATTTGCTCATTATTCGTGAAGATTATATTTGTTGTTCACATTTAATATCTATATATATAAAATTTGACATATAATATTTGTCTAAATGACAATGCAGAAAAATATAATTAGAATCAAAATTTGAATTCAATCGTAACATTAAAAATCACTAACCTTTAATCTGATAAATATACCACTTGTAGAAAAGTACCACAGCATCCGGAAGCCACATGAAAACCGATTTTCCCCGAGGCAAATTGAACTAGCACTTAGCGGGCTCCGCTGTAAGATTAATTGTTTCTTCTATAAACTTAATTTAGCTTTCAAGTTAGAGCGTACAAAGAACAAAGAGTAATTTGCACATGTACATTTCATAACAATATTTTCCCTTAAATTTTACATTAACATTAATAAAATTTATACACACACACACACACACACACATCTTTTTATAATTGTAAAAAATATATGATATATATAAATTAAATATATAATTAAATTTAATTTGTTGATAGGATTTGATAGAAATATTTAAGAAAAATAAACATCAAACAGAGAAGTTTGCGAACAAATAGTAATATTTAGCTCAAATATTTTTACTTGAAAATTTAAACTTCCCTCTAAATTATAACAAAACTTTTACGTTCCTCGTAAATATGTTAATATATATTAATTAGCAAACTATATTGTACAGAATAATATAGAAACTTGTATTGAAATTTTAATAATGATATAATTTCCCTATTTTCTTGCAATTAAAGAGAAATTTCAACACTGTCGTACTGTAACGCAACCCGGCTCAGCAATTCCCGTCTAAATCCCGTCATTTCCGAATATTAATGTGCCATGCTTGTGCGCGCGTATCGACGTATATATGACGTGAATTATTATCTTTCTCCCCACCCGGCTGGCTGGCGATACTCGGTTGTAAAGGATTTTTCTCCGCAGGCGTGGGATGCCATAACGCCCACATTCTCATTTATTTTCCTCTGTTCGTACGTAATCCCTGTGTCCCTCTATTGGGACTCGGAAAATTAGAAATATTCGAGACACGACAACCGGGAGAGTATATGAGATGCGCGCTTCGCATTGTCGTACAGGAAATCTGGTATCGCCTATCACAAACGTGGTTTCGAAATGTGTTTCCGCGCAGCGATATTATCGTATACCTCGGTGATAGCTTTTACAAGCGAGATGTTTGAATTGTCGCATATTCGCCGTGTAAAATGAAGGAAACGGTATTCGTACGAGCTGTTCGACAGAACAGTGTGATAGGTATGATACGATTCTCACGATGAAAGTCTCACTTTGAGAAAAGAGGAATTACTGAGAGAGTGAACCAGAGAATGCATGAATCATATACAATTGTAAAGAGACCTGTTTTATTTTACTTTATATATTGCAATATATTGCTATTGAAAGAACTTAAATTTCAAACTGTGCGAGATGAGTTTATGTGAAAGCCGGTATAAAATTAAAATTTTGTTTTTATTAGTTTACACGTCAGTTTATTCATCCATTGGCTCGTTGCAACGTTGTTGACGTATCTCGGCATAATATTGGCTTTTTGATGAGAAATATTTGAGTTGCAACATGTGAGGAATATTATACGTGACAACGAATAACACGTAGTATTATACTTCTCAAGGTAACGCGCGAGTATAACAAGAAAAATGGGGCCGCAAACTTCGTTTCTTCAACTTACTTAAAGTTGTATAAATCGATGGTTATGTTTCTTAGCTCAGTCCATTGTGTATGTATATATATATGTTATATATTTCGATACATAGCGCATTTGTATGAATTTTCAACTAGCTTTTATCACCTTTAGCAAAAAATATAACGCTGATTTTATGTTTCGAATAAAATCTTTTATATTACGCTTCATGCGCGTGATGTAGAATGTCTATTGCTAATAAATTTCAAACGTTAGTATCCTTGATATGAATGTAGTATATTGAGTATATATATTAATGTAATCCATTTGTGTATCAAATTATTTCATAATGTTGCGGGATAATTTCAAAAAATTATTTTCATTTCAAAGCATTATATTTCAAACAATGCAATATGGCACTCTCTCTGTAAATAGAAATATAAAGCTTTATGTATTGAATGGGACATTTGTTTTTCAAAAGTATGTTAATTAGAGAAGGGTATCTGGAAAATGATGATCACGGAAAAAGAAACCGAGAATCCAAGATTTCTTGTGCTATATATGGATTAAAATGTTCTCGTCTGTATATAAATTAGAATGTACGCACGCATTCGCACAAATGCAAGTCTGCGGGATGCAAGTTCCCCGCAGAAAATTCAATAAACTCACCGCCGCCGTCTTGCTATCTGCTGCCATTGTTCATCGCGCGTTACTCGCTATCATATGGTTCACTGCGGTAAAGAGAACAAAGGAACTTTCAACGAAAGTGGCTATATTTGCTTCGCAGAATCGATACTCCCATGGTGCATACCTCTCTCGCAGCTCTCTCTCTCTCTCTCTCTCTCTCTCTCTCTCTCTCTCTCTCTCTCTCTCTCTTTCTCTCTCTCTCTCTAAGTTTTTACCCTTTTCTTATTACGGCGACGTGTATGCGCCGCGCCATAAGCGCGTGCCGCGTTAAAAGAAGGAACAAAGCATGTTGGAAAATGCAGTCTAAAGAGCGCATCGACACGCGATGCAAGAAGAAAGGAGGTAGAGAGACGCATACATTGAAGCTCGATGATTGACAGAACCTAATTCCTTCGGACGTTCGATTTTCCTTAGCCTATCTACCGCGTGGCAGGCGGTCGCCCGGCAGTAGAAAGAGTCAAATTATGCGGCGATTACGTTGATGTTGGTCAGCAATCGATGAAAATATATGCTCGATTATATCGACACCGTGTATGCACCGCTCGTACCGAACGCGCGTAATTACGCGGCTAATTATTAATAATGAAAACAACCGCAGCTTTGCCCCCATAATTTTCCACGCGCTATACATAAGCTTCGTAATTAAGTAATTTAATCCGCTCGATTACGCTGCTGCGCACATAAATTATGTTTGCGTACCGCGATATTTTGTGGAATTTTGGGAGAGGGAGAACACACCGCGTTAAATCGATCGGAGGATAAATTCGGCATTTACGTAAATGCGTTTTTGGCGTTTTATCGATCAAGTGCATAGGTAAATACTTTTCGGACGTTTATCGATAACGTATCAACGCTTGCTGGACTATGGGAATAACGAGAGCCAATATTCCATATGTCCAAACAGAACACGCGTCTAGCACTTACGTTTCCTACAAATAGTGGAGTATTATTGAGACCAATGGAGAGAAATAAGTTCGCGCATTTTTTCAAAATCATCCGAAATGAATCACGAGATTCTCCAGACTATTAATTAGGATAGAATATTTAGCATAATTACACACATAGCACGATATGCGTAATTAATTCATATATCAACGCAGTATTAACATGATTAAACGTTACGTCGAAGGATTTGGTCGTACGATCGACAAAAGACGCGACGAAATGCGGTATAAGAGAGGGAAAATAGAAAGAGCAAGGACCGTGGAACTCACGTCATAATTCGCCGCTTGCAACAGGCTGCAGCTGGTCACGTCGTCGACGCGCGGGGCGCGCACGCGTGCGGTCAGTTGCTCTAGGTAGTTTGTGCTCTTCGGCAATTAACCGTCGCGCTAATTAGTACACGCTACCGGCGCCGGCGTTTCTCAATTCCCCTCAGGTGGCACTCGACAATCGCACAGGTAGCCGCTAGGGACCGTGCCGAGACTGCCGAGCTGCCGTCGCGGTGTCGGCCAGCCGACAAGTGGGTGCTGTGCTGACCGGGTGCTGCGGGTGCTACTACTGCTGCTGCTACTGGCTGCTACTATTGCTGCTGGTCTGTGGTTGCCACTACCTCAGTAACTGACTCGCGCGCACGACTCCACACTCGGCATCGGTAGAGAGAGAGAGAGAGAGAGAGTGATGGGATGCGGGGGAAGAGCATCGGAGGGTGGAAGGTCGGCTTGGGTGGAAGGGTGCGCGAGAGCTCTTTCCCCTCGCTTCTACACGCTCCGCAGGGATGTATCAAACCGTCAAGCGTATAGAGAAAGGAGGGAAACGGAAGAGAAGGCGGTGAAAGAGGGTGATCGGGTGAAAGGCATACGAGGCAGCAGCGGAGGGTGGAAAAGAGAGAGGGCTAATATATAAAGAGGGGAGTAGTCAGGCGCAACAGGCGCGGACGTAGATAAAACGCGAACGGAGGCATATGCTCCTGCCTCCGCCGTCGTCATCGTCGTTGTCGTCGACACTCGGCCATAATTGGAACTATCCCGCGCGCGTGTATACTGACTTTTCAGCGTATCAGCCGCGGCTAGATAATCGTGCAAATTGAACGGCGCGTGGCGGCCAAGAAGTAGGACATTCTGCGATGAATGCGGCGGTCTCCATACAAAGCGCTATCGCGAGGCTGGGTAGTAATTTTGTTAAAACGTTACGGTACACACATCTCACCGTGCAAAAGAGGAACGCTTGCGAGAAAAATGGTTCAATTTGTTACTTGGACGGCTCTCTCTATTAACATTTACTTATATTGTTAAAGTCGCTGATATTTCCTATAAACAAGATACATTTAATTATTGCGAGAACTCGTAACACTGATTACACGATCGATTTATTTTACTTTAATTGTTAGAGCCAGCTGATTAAATCTTCCTTTTTTTCTGAATTTGGGCATCTCTCTTTTTCTCTCCCTCGTTCTGGGAACTGACGTAACTGTGCCGAATGACGAAATAAAATATAAAGCAGATTTCTCATATGTCACGCCAGACTAGATGGAACTTCGCAATCGTATCATTGTGCGTGTGCGTAGCTCGTAACGCGTTTACAAATGACACGTTTGCCGGCGTGCACGCTGATCGGGGCAAACAGGTGTCCTTGTGCTATATCGTACTTATTGACGTGTCGTACCTCGCAGTCGCCGTGATAGTCTGGACGGAGGGTCGATGATCAGGGAAAGTCCGACTCTCACGGGCTCGGAAGATTCTAGGTCACGCAGCGAAAATTTTACGTACCGCCGCGTAAGCATGCGCTGATTTTGCCACGTGCCCATGTCCCTCTTATCATCTTGCTGATGGAGGAAAAGAAGTCTTGCCGGGACTGCTATATTCATTTTAGGAGACAAGCTCGGATGATAAATGAGATTTGAAAAATGAATTATTTCTAAACTATTTTTACTTCTTTTTATTTTATTTTAATAAACTATTCATATACATGATGAATAATGAAATGAGCAAGATTCTGTGATGATTTTTTATAACCAGAATTAATTATATAATATAATTATTAGACAGTATTGCTAATATTAATCGATAAAAGCTAATGTTTCTCTCCTGTAATAATAATAATATCATAATATGGTATTTTTAGAAATTAAAAGAAAATACGTTAAAATTAAATTAAATCTCTACAAAAAAATTTATATTATGTTAATAATATTAAGTATAATAAAAAAGGACAAATATATATAAGACAAAGGGAATATAAATAAGAAAAAATATCAAGAAGTCAATCTTATTTATTTTAAAATTTTAGACCTGATATGTGTGACACATATAATTGTATCTCTACAAGTAAATATAGTAGCATATGTTAATCTTATTTGTCCATTTTCTGACTAGAATCAACGCGAAAGTTTACTTGTTTAGGTATTTAAAGATATAAAAATTGGATAACTGAAAAATGATGATCAATTTGTTTATAAATACAAGTTAGTGTTAACTATAATCAAGTCAATCAACTGCTTTTAATTAATTAGAAGATGATAAAATTGCGTAAAGAATTATTCAATTAAAATTATAGATACATCTAACTTTTTGGGATTGATCAATACAATTAATCAATTAAACAATGTTTGATCTTGTGGGAATTTAATTTAATTCGTTATAGCTTATCTTTATCTTAAAATGAATGCGTGCAGTTTTGTACTGGTGTACATGATCCTTTGCTGAAAATCCAGGATTTAGTACGTAATGCTTCATCGTCCTATGGCATAAGAGCTTTCTTCCATATCGTCGCACTCGCGGTTAGCTTTACCGATAGTCATTGCTCTTATCATTTGATACGTATAATTGAGATGTTTTAATTTTCAAATAAGAGTGCGCTTTACGTCATGTTAAATTCGCAATTGTTTTTATCTTCTTTTCGTTGTTTTTATAAATTGCGAAAAATATCATAGAGAAAGCAGCGATACGTTAAAAATAAGCTTTCTTAATCTGTTCTCTTCCAATTCGTGCAAAATGGGTTTGCAATTTGGCAATTTAGTTCGAATTCGTGGAATCGTGTACTACGGTTTATCGCCTTTGGAGCAACGAGCTTGGGCAAAATCGATAACGCACGGAATACCCAATTTACTGAACAGAGCAATGCGAGCTCTTCCAACAACGGCTCCAGGTGCTTTATATCAAGATCTAAGTATTTCACTTATTATTATTTTTTTAATTACATGTATACATAGTAAAGCAAAAAGAAATATTTTAATGCAATTAATTTTTACAATTGCATTAATTATAGAATTTACTTTCTGATATATTTTTCCTAATTACAAGATTCTAATCAAAGTATCTAAATGTAAAAGGTACACGAGTAACAAATTTCTAAAAACAAATAGGCAAAATATGACATTTTTCATTATTTTTATAATCAAGCAGTTTTCGATAACTAAATTTTGTTTTATTATTAGCATATAATATATTCATTGAACTAATTTTTGATGATTTTTTAATTGTACCCCTTCGCTTAAAATTTTTTCCACAATTATAAATATATACAGATTTTAAATATCGATTTTCAATATTACAATCTTTGTCTAGAATTAATTGGCAATTTTTCATAAGACATGAATAACGATTCAATTCAATCAGAGAAGCGAAATATTTTAACTTTATAAAATAACTTTGTTTTACGTGACTACAATTTTTTTACGTCGAAATGAAATAATTGTATTGAACCGTGAAATACGTTTCTTGCCTACTGCACTTTTCTATAATTCTTTCTATCTTCCTCTCTGAATATACATATATTTGATCACACGAATATTCACAAATCTCTGTTAAATAAAAAGTATAAAATAGATAAGTAGGCTTCATGTTATCGAAATTGTGTACATGGCTTTGATGAGCTTCTACGCACTTGAAGTAAATTACCATGATGTTACAATAATAATTTATATAAACAAGTATAAACAATGTGCTATAATAATAATGTATATATAAACAGTGTATAAGTATATATAAACTCATGTTTATTCATAATTGTGAATGATGCACCATAAATTTATGAAAAAAGTTTGATTTAATAAAAATCTTACTTAATGAAACATTTGTCATTTGAATAAAATACGAAAAATGATACCAACTCTTTTTGCATACATGCACTTACATGCATTATACGAATAGATTTCACAATACGTTTCTAGTAACATTTTTCTAATTTTATAAAAATTTTCTTTCAGATAAAAAAAGATTGATTATTGAGGTATTTTCAATAACAATTCTATATTAGTGTACATATTCTTATTTTTATAAATTCGTAATGTTATAAATCCATAATTATTTCGGTATTAAAAATATCAATTCTATTTAAGCTGATATTATTTATCTTTTAACTGAAATAAAAACTGATCTTTGCTCTTCGCAAATAGTAATATGTTATTAAACGTATATTTGTTTAATGACGCAAGACATTGTTAAATAATATTACACTATTATTGATAGCATAATCGATTTCTGTCTTTATGTGCATTTTATTGTACTATAAAAAAATATTGCTGTATAAACGTTCAAAGGTATATTTAATCTCTATAAATAAACGAGAACCAAATGTCATGTATAACATTCGTGGTGATAATGCATAAGCCATATTAATGAAATTCTTGTCGTTTCAATAATTCGGTATAATCTTTAAAACTCTTATTTTTGGGAAATAGAAATTTAGATTATATGAAAGATATATGAACAAACCAAATTATACAAAATTACAAGAAGAAAAATTTAAAATCTTATCATCTACGGAAATTATTTATTGAAGACATATATTTCTAGAATTTTATTTTTATGAATTTTTTATCATTATTCCGAATGACAGTTTATATATAACGTAATTTTTTTTTAATTTCTATTTTATTTAATATTTTTTTTCCTTTTTATAATTGTTCTTAATATTTTTCGTTTTAGGTTTTATAATGACAGCAGTCATATATCTGTGGTCGAATGCAGAATATGATCGATGTAATCGCAAAGATCCTAAATTATACGAGAACGACAAATAATGCAAGCATTGATTACGCTATTTTTAAGTTCGATAAGCAATTTTTGCTTTATGAATAAAATTTCCATTAGATATTGTTGTCTGTTTTAAATGGAGTTTCTAAAGTTTAATAAAGGATACAACGGAAATAAAATATCTTTTTACTTAAGGCGCAATTATTGGTTGTGTATATTTTTATAGATAATAAATATAATTTATTTTATCAGAGATTAACAAAATAAAAAATTGATTCGTACATTTAATTACGTACATCTTTATGATATCATAATTATTGTAATAATGTGTACGACAAATTTATAATTATCTCATTTAAGGAATATAAATGGAACATTTTTTTGAAATATACTTCTAAATAATATATAGTAATAACATGTTTGAAAAATGCTGTTTTACAATAAAAAATTTATTTGATAGAATTATTATTATATCATAATAATTATTATAATATAATATTATAGTGTCAATAATGCATGTAAATAAAGTTACTATAACTTTAACAATCATCAATTATGAAACGTTGGTATACAGTGATAGAGAAACTTTAATAGTTCAAAGAACATATTAACGCCACCCCTCTTTTAATCCAATGTGATTGCGGCCTGTTAATTGGAATTTCCGTCGCGAGAACAAAATTCGTGGAATGTCCGGTTGTACTTAAAGTTCCTGATCGCTCGATGGTTTTGTATACAGGACATACGTAAACTCCGTGAGGCGGAGTTATGTGATGAATTTCTGGTAACAGGAGAATCGGCGGCATGTCTGGACAGCAAGTGAATAGTACCATGTTATGTAAATGGCATTCAAAGTAATTAAACAATTCGTAATTTGCTTAACGAAACAATAGCTATTTAAATTTTATTATTTTAGTAATCTTTTAATAATTTAGCGTGAAATTAATTTTAGAGTATTGGAAATATTATTAGTACTTAACCGGTGAATAATTCCTTTGGTAAAGACTCAACGAGATAGTTTCCGTCCCACCGGCACCCCTCCAGAAAAAGTCCGTAAATGACACAGCCATTCGACGGTCTCTGTGTTGGTTTCGAAGATAAAACCTGTGACGTGCAACATTGCGTATAACTTTGCTCGAAATATATATATTCTTTATTTAGTGATTCTACCAAAACTGTGCAGTTTCAAACTTTTGCAAAACAATACATTATTTAACGAGAGCTAATTTATATCTACTATTTGAGAAATAACCTTTATTTTAGACGCAGTATATTTATCGGTAATTACTGTAAATTAGAATCTATAACGTATCAAGGTTTTATTCAATTACAGTCATTATTTATGCCAAACAAATCTCTCAGATAACTAACAATGTCTATCAATTCTTTTCATATGTATTTTCCTGTAGTTATTATACGTTACGCGTCAATCACGTTGACCCATCAATAATTTAATTAAAGGCTGAAAGCGTACCTTGTAGCTAAAATCGATTGTGTCAATGGATACTATGTGTTTGCGTGCGAAATTTTGTAGCGTGCCAGTTAGAAAGGCTTGAGGGAAATAAAAGCCCGAGAGCCAAAATGCAGATGGTATACCTTGATCTCGCCAATTGCTTATAAATGCAATTCTTTCCTTTAAATCGGCAAACCATCCGGCTAATCGAAAAAGTATTTGTTATAACAATTGGCTTTGAGAATTAAACAAGGAATATGTTACATATTGATAAATTTATGAACGACTTCCTACCTAAAGGTTTTAGTGAAGGGTAACTTTTGCTTTGCCAATTCGCGGGTATTTTATTGTTAAAAAGATTGGTAGCCATCATTTCGAGATGTTCCGACATGACGACCAAACCACTTAAAGCTTTTAAAAGATCTTGCAACGTTGATTGCATGATTTCGAGTAAATCGTTATATCGTTTGGCCTCTTGTAGTAACACGGTATTAAAGGATTCCTCGTAAAGTAAAGGGTACCTGAAATTCAATTTGGTTTACACTTTTACTGACTTAATAGAGGCTTTATCTAACTTTTTCGTAAATGTTATTCTTGTTTCGAAAATATGAAATATATAAGAAGCAAAAATTTTTCCATCTTTTAGATTAAGAAATTACTAATGTTATGGAATAATTATATTTAATTATATCACATTTTAAAAGCTAAATATTTTTATCAAATTTTAAAAATATAAAATTGTAAGGTACTTTTTATTTTAGAAATTTACAAATTGTAGCGATAATAAGAATATATTAAAAAATAAAATTTGTAGAAAATATATCTTTTCTTTCTCATACATAAAGTAATATCCAGTAGTACCTCGCTTGCATTGCGATTAAATCAAAGGATCCGGGTATTGTAGCCAACATATTCTTGGTTATTTGACTTGTTACCTCTTCGACACTTGCGGCTGCAACGCCAAGTTCTCTGGGTTGCATGTTTAATAAAGTTGCGAGGCAAGTATATGCTTCTGCTTGCGCATAGCTTATATCGGCGTTTGAATGCATGCCAAACAGTGACGGATCGACGTTTAAAGGGAAACCTTTTATGTAGTCTAGATAATCGTTGAATGACGCTGCAGCCGGTAACTTCATATGCATAAACGTAATGTGGTGTAAAAAAGATGAAAGTGTAATTAATAACGTATTAAAAGCGTATTAATTTTTATATTTGTGAAACTATATACGCAATGATACAAATTTATTGAAAATATCTCGTATACATATTTCAAATTAACGTTCATGCAAAACACATAAAATTTACGCTTTTACATTAATTACAAAAAATGTGTTGCGTAAAAGAAATAAATAAATATCTATAGCTTTTACTAAAATTAAAATTGCTAACTCCAGAATTACTAATTTTTAGAATGAAAAAGAATATATTTTTTATTCGTTTTTTCTATCTTTTTAAAACTGTTTTTATTATATTATTAATATTACAACTTAAGTTTTTTTAATTTATATATAATCTTTTATTTCTTCATATTTTAGGCTGAACAGATCTTTAATATATCTTTAATACTTTTGGAACTGCCATTGTACAGAATTTAATTTTTCAATTTACAAATCATAGATATCTTTTAGAAAATGTTTATCGTTTTATTTGAATATATATACCTGATGATAAATCCCCTGTTCATCAAATTGATAATCTGAGGAGACAACTTTAGCATTATAATAGTCTTCGAGAAGTGTCAGAACACATCGGCGATCCCAATCATCTGTTATTCGTCCACCATAATTAATATGCCCGGCGGTATATATGAGAATCTTGTTATATTAAATTAATTATTTAAGAATTAATATATTCATTATTTTATTTAATATATAAATTTATCTCGAAAAACGCTAAATTTAACAATTAAAAAATATTCTGAGTTTTATATTTTTATAGATCTAGAGAGATATTTTCTTCAGAAATTATTATATAAGAAACGCGACTCAAGTCAAAATAAAATTTCCAAAAATGTGACTTAATATTTGAAGGAGAGAATAATTAAAATATTACAACTTTCTATTCTTGCTAAAAGTGCTATCAATTTCACAAAGTTTTTGTAAAATTAAAAGAAAAATGATAGAAATGCATATTTGCTAAAGCTAAGATCTGCTTTGCTTATGATCAATATTTTACCTTAAATGGCAAAGTATCGTATTCCATGAGAAACATGTACAATTGCGACAAGCATATAGCCAAATCCCCGTTTGTGAAATCGTAGGATATATTGAAACCGAGGGGACCAAATTTCCGTCTCTCGATCAGAATTGAGTGAAACATGCAAAGTGAGAATATAAGCCGCTTGAATGACAGAGCTTTCAGGTGATCGGGTTGCAGAAACTCGTACATTTCTGTGACTTGTGTCAGATATGCACGTAACATGTTGGCCTATGTTAAAAATGGAAAACAAAACGAGATACATTATGTATGACATGTAAAGAAATGTTTATTTATCTTTATCATTTACGTATAGAGATACCGTGAGTTATTTGATAACAAAAATGTTTTTTTCCAAATATTACAAACATTTGTAAAAAATTGTTTAACAAAGTGTAAAAATGACAAAATGATTTTATTTAAAACATTTGTATTGGCTATATTAAAATAGTATGATGTACCTTTATACCCCACGGTGATTCAATCGTCATTTTACTGCTATTTTGAAGAATACTAATTGGAAAGTCGGGCGATGGTGCAGATGTCAACCACAACCGAAAGTTTCGATGAGTATTTTCTGGCAACATTTCGATAAGAAATTCAAGTTTTGGCATCCAACTTGGTGCCAAATGGCAATTCTGCAGTATTAAAAAACATTAATTATAAACTATATAAATATCAAATTAGTACGCATTTTATGCAGTAAATGTACATATGCCAAATATATTCTAACACGGAAAAAATTGCTGTGGATGTTACAACAGTATTCTCTATAATGTTTTGGAAGCAAAATGCATGTGAATTTAAGTTATATTAATGGCATACATTTGTTAAGGTATGCTTATCAGTACGGTTCTCACAACCGTAATGCTTAGGATAAATAACATTCGGTTAGAATATCTTCATACATGTGGCTGCCTCAACCGAAGTATTATTGTTCTCTCTCTAATGTGGTCTGCACAACAAATAGTATGATTGAGAGGTATACTATATGATATAGTTGTACGTCATAACATTGAGACTGAGAGTTCAGTTAAGTATATAAGTCACTTCCAAAATATTTTAGTTCTTATAATTTGAACAGATGAGCGAAAATTATCACATTTATTATGTTGTCGGCAACAGTAATTTTTTCCCATAAATCTTTTTTCAGTCTAACAATTATTTAACAAATTTCATTTTAATAATCTAATAATATTGCAGTATAATAAATTTATATATAGTACGATACTAATTATATGTAAATATTTATGCACTTTTAAAACATTTTTTATATTTTATTAAAAAGGTGCATTTTTGAAAGGTATTTAAAAATGTTTTAATATTTAAAAAATGACATATATTGCCTCAACACTATTTAAATATTGCATAAAAGACTGCGTATTAAATAATCAAAGAGTTAACCGGGAATAAATAATGCTTTAAATATTCACCAATGTTACCTCAACTTGTGGCATTTATTCTACATGTATTGTAATACGTAACAACGAGGTCAGCTATTTCGGTAAATATAGATTTAACTCTGTTTCGCTTTCTTTTTATTACTACAATAAGGACACCTCTATGAAGCGAAATAAATCATTTCTCCAACTTTTATGCTTTACATATCATCAAAAAAGAAACGGATATTTTTCTTTTTGATCAATATGCTTACTAAACAGAAAGTGCTCTTATAAACACTAAAAAAGCTTACACAAAATTTGTACTAAACAGAAATATGATCTTATAAACGTACAAAAAATAAGAATATTTAAATTTCCGTCTTTTGTATAAAAATGTAGTGCGTTTAATTTTTTGGGACTATTACGCAAAACGCAAATATGATTTTGTTTCATATTTCTAAAATATATTTATTCTTGCGAAATAAATGATTAAAATAATAATTTTAACATTTTCGTAGTATATTGATATAATATGAAATTAAATAGTTCCTGTGTTCTATTTTATGCATTTACATGAATATTTTAATCAATGTATTTACTATTTAGCATATTTATTTCATCTATATAGATGTGTGCAATATGCTTTTAATTATTATACATATTAAATTTTTATAAATATTATTCAATTTTAATTTAAAATTTTTCTATTATATAACAACCAATATAAAACAGAATACAGTTTTATTTAATTTTAACGTTTAAACATTTTAAATTGTTTTGCAAAAAACTCAATTTACCGTTATTTTTATATCCTTTTCATAGAAATGAGAATTTAAAAAAAATAAAATTTATATGTATAAAAAAATATATTAATTTTCCAGAAAGTATTTGTCAGAAATTTTTTAAATTATTACTTCTGCATAATTAGTTGATTGGCTGCGTTTAATACATTTAAGAAATAAAAAATAAATAAATATTAAATATAATATAAATATTATATTTATTTGTCTAAAAAAGAATTAATTAAAGAGAGAGATAGCTTCTAACTTGAAAAAAGAGCCAAGAACCCGTCTCCGCTGATTCTCTCAGCATGACTTGTGCCTTGAGCTCCTGACCCTGACCAAGAGATATCGAGTACAACTTCTCGTCCATTTTTAACTTGTCAGCGAACTTATATAATTCTGCGGCCGGATCAGTACCAGGCGATAAGATAAAGACAATTGGCGTGATGTTTGACGATTCCTCATAAATTGCTAATAATTCTGTGGTCTGAGGTTCGACGAATTGTTCACCCAGATATTTTGTCAAATACATTTGCATAGCATTGGTGAGTTTGTCAGGCCGTAAGCACTTGAGTACCAGTAACTTTTCAAAATCGTCGAGTGTTGTCTCCCATGGCTGAGGAAACGGTGCTCTAAATGATTTAAATTTCTATCTTTAATGCAGAAACTTAGTAATCTTGTAAATGGAGAAACGGGAAGAGAAACTTTGAAAATTTTTTAATATTTAAATTAGAATACGAATTATCTTCTGAAAACTTCTAATAAAAAAATATTTTTTTTTTAATAAGAATAAAACTCATTAATTATTAATAATTAATTAAAACATGATTAAATACATTATTCGAATAAATTATTAATATTATTATTAAATTATATTTTACATTATTACATTTAATTCAATCTGCTTTCCACTCTTCTGGAGAAAAAGATTAAATTAACTGAAATTTCTATAACTATTTTTTATTGATTAAGCCAATATAATAATTATTATAATTATAATTACAATTATAATTATAATCATTATTTTAATGGCTTTTGAATTTTACAAGCTTTAACGTGAAAAAAGTTAATCCACTTACAAATGTGCTTCCTGGGTATCGAATATGTTTTTAAATTGGGATAACGATAGCTGGAAAGATGTGATGAATTTGTCGAACTTTGGAAGCCGTTTTAAAGCTTGAATTTCCTGCCAGCATCGCGGAGTAATCCATTCTGATTCGGGATTTGGCAATTCCTACGAGAGAAATCTTCGGATATACATATATCGCGCGCGATGATATGTGATACATAATAAATATCTTTTCACCCATTCATGCTTCTTTAACAGTGAGCATGTAAAAGTATCTGTATGCGAAAACATATTATGCAACTTGCAGAAAAAAAGATTAAAAACAACTAGTGTGTGTTTGTGTGGTGACGAAAATGTATTTTAAAATTATTACAAAAATGTAAATTTTGGTATTCAAAATTACAATAAATGCAATTTTTAAATTATATTTATATATGTATTTACAGATAGTTATTTCATTTTCATTTATAGATCAAAAAGTATTTTACATTTTTAGAACCTCTTAATTCAAATGGAGACTTAAAATAAATCTAATTTTATTTTATATCTTATATTTGATTATACGTTTAAACATTACTCTATATATTGCAAATAGAATAATACATTAAGTTTAAATTTATCTTAATTTTAAAGATTGTAAATTTCTTTCACATAAATAACTGCAATATGTTAATTAATATGTTGGATTATATTAATGCATTATATTAATTATTTATAAAATTTCTGTTAAACAAAAAGAAAGTAATTACAGTGTCATATTTTTAATTTTCTTATTTCTATATTTTTAAAAGAAAAAATACAGTGAGTATAATAATTTAATAGAATTTAAATAAAATAAGTTCTCGATATTATGCGCGATTATAAATTCATTTCACGTTTTACCCCTATTGGTGTAGTTGTTGTAAGAAAGTGTCGCCATTCCATCGGATCGATTGTACCATTGTCCAAAAGAATACGTGCGCTGACGAGAAAAGCAAAGTGCAGTTTGTGTTTTTCGAATAAACTACGACAAACACTCGCGAAGAGAGCAAACGTGAAGTTCTTGATAATGTCCACAATCCGTTTATTAATATTATCTGTAAAATTAAATTACTAAATTATCTACAAAATTAACTGCAACTTATACTAATAAGTTAATAATTTTTATTAACTTATACCAATACTATGAACTAATAGTAGCATTTTTGAATATACTAATATAAATATTAACACATTTTTTTAAGTTTGAAATTGATATAACTTGTAAATGTTGATTAATTTTAATCTTAAAAAATGCTATATTGATTTTAAATGTTTCTGCTTTCTATGCATAAGCTTTTTAATAAACACAATACTGTTATACTAGTAAATTTAAAAAAGTTAAATTTACGTAATTTATATACGTTATACATTAGATGAGCTAAATCAATGACACAACAGTATACGATATCAGAATACAAAATGCTTTACTTACTGCTTTGTTCAGTATTTGATATGCTATTATTGAGTATAATGACGAACCATTCCAGAGAATATTGATACATAATATCGATATGCCGGAGATCGGCAATACAAAAGAACAATATTTGTGCCCTGTTTGCTACTGGCATGTATAATGATCTTGTTAAATCAATGTTTGCTTGTGTAAGTTCAGCAGTCTCCATTTTCATCTATAATAAAACATACTTTACTATTTTGTATAATTATAGAAAAGGAAAATCTATTATATTATTAAGTAGCTTTTTTCTACTTTTTTAAATCAACTATATATAGGTATATATATATAT